TTTGTACTACGAAAGCATACACATAATGGGGTGGACGGAAAAAACAATTTGCGTAAATTTTTATGACAATAAAATCATGTTACTGTGCGACGCATTCCTTTTATCAGTTGGGCAGATGAATATTAATATTTTTATGAAAATCATTTGTGCCGAATACGCTGGTTGAACGTAAAAATCGGATTGCACGAAAAATATTCAGAATTCCATAACATTCCTTGCTCCATTGCATCGATAAAGGATTGTTTAATTTGAATTTTAAAAATACACAAAACGCACTGTACTCTCTCATACTTGAATATTCATCAATAAGGAAACTCACAGATTTATGTAATTTATGTGGATATTAATGAGTTTTAAATGTTGGAAAAACCGGCTTAAAACACGTTTTCTGATTGTTCACTTCAAAGTGGACGAGCGTAAAATGCAAAAAAATGTGTACAGTAACGATTTTATTGTAAAAACACGATTGTATAACGTACGCGATAAAAAAGCAAAAGTAAAAAAAAATAATAATAATAAAATCTCGAGAGTAGCCTTCCGATGATGATGTACCAATATGAAGCAAATGTAAATACATAGGAAAGGGCATTGGATTACGCGTTGGCCCAGAGCGGCTCGATTCGTTAGTTTAACGAACAAAGCTCCCAACGAATACACAAAAGCGGCAAAATAAACGTGACTCCTACACTCTGGCTGTTTGGCGTTGTGTGCGAGCTAAAATAAAACTTTTCTTTTTATATCAAGCATCGCCATACAAACGGACTGGCTCGCACAAAGAGCAGCACATCTTTTCTTTGTATAGCTTTTTTACTCAGCTGCTCCGCATGAAAATGGAAAAATTTCGTTTGTTTCATTTTTATTTTTATTGTTTTCATCGATTGGAAATGTCTCCAAATGATTCCGATCGAGTGCGTGTTTTAGTTGAAACTTATTCCCATAACTATTTGCAATGAATTTCAAATTCTGATAACTTTTGGTCCACCGCACTCGGGGGGGGGGATGGGTTACCGTTTTAAAAATTTCCCTCAAACTTATCGTAAGCGCTCTTCTATGCAAAACAAGTCCGATCACGGACCACACAAACCGCAGTCGCCTGAATGGAGTCGCAACATTTATTTTTCCCCTCAAGCAGAGTTTTTTCTGTTTTCGCAGGTATAGCTCGGAATTATTTCCTCCGATTCTGCGAGGAAAAAAACTTTCGGATGCGAAAAAAAAAAGAAATGACGAACCGACAAATTTCACAAACGCCCTCTCAGACTCTCCCAATGAATGCAAATGCAAGCGAGACAGAGAGAGGAAAAAAGTCTTCGAGATATTAGGGGCACAATACGTAAACTCGGTACTTATGATCCAGAGAGCCGCATCACTAATAAACAGTTTATGAATATTCACGAGTCCGCATCAGAAGAGATACCTTTTCCAGTTGTACAGCTCGAAGCTGCCATCGCACTCGTCCATAAAAAGTAAGGGGAGGAAAATTCCTTCAAAACTCCTTCACGTCCTAAAAGCTGATGCCTAGCGCTGTTTTTTTTACGAGTCCCCCCCCCCCCACAAAAAAACTCCTCTTTACCCAACAGTACGTGTATATATGATACACATCCATCCACAAAAGCGAGTCGCGCGCATAAAGACGGAAAATTTTCATCGCTCTCGACGACGAGGTCAGGGCTTCAAACGAACGAGCCATTCAAAGAACGAAATGCCATTGGATATACACGTGTGTACAGGGAGCCGAGTGAAAATGCAACCACGCGCTGATTAATCGGCCCGAGATTCCTTATCGCGTATGCGACTCCCCCTCCCACCACACCCCGCACTTTCGACTCTTACATATGTATATATTGTGTACGTGGGCAAATGTAACGTGTTGTTACGTATGGTAGGTATGTACGTAATACGAGAAGCGCGACTTTCGCTTCTGTGAGAGTAGCAGTGCAGGCTGTACTTGTTCACTGGACGGATTCGTGCACTTTTTGTTCAGAGTGTACTAATATAAATTCGAGATGGTGTCTTTGCGATGAATAGAAATCAATTTTTCGTTTTTTTGCTGTTTTTGGAATTAAAAAAAAAAATTTTGCAATTTTTTTAGGTTCATATAACAAAAATGTTTTGCTTTTATGAATGAATAAAAGAGAAAAAAAAATTAACATTTTTTATATTTTCGTGATATACTAGTAATAGTTTTTCAAATTCATCTTACTTTTAAGCAATACAAATTGATTGACTGAGAAAGCAAGTAGAAACAGACGATTAAAGTAAGACGAAACATCATTGGTGGTGAAATGAGCGTAACCTAATCTATTTGAGAATTCTGGATTTTCCATTTGCAATTTAATATTTTTTTTGCAGCTTTTCAAGTTTTTTTCATTTTTAACCTATACACATTCATAGGCTTAAAAATCAAGTAGAAACAGACGGTTACAGTAAGACGAGCCATCAATAGAGGCGAAATAAGAATAACCTAACTGTATCTATTTGGGAGTTCTGTATTTTGTATTTTCAATTTACTATTTATTATATTTAATTAGCTTACTAGTAATAATCTACTCAATTTTTTAAGTTTGTTTCATTTTTAACCTACACAAATTGATTAGCTAAAAAAGCAAGTAGAAACAGACGGTTAAGGTAAGACGAAGTAATCAGAAGTCTCATATTCAAATAGTAAATATAAAAATTAATCAAGTTAAATATGTTTATAATATTTATGCCATTAGTTGTCCAAAAAAATTGAAAGGAATAAAAAAGAAATTAATTAAAAAGACCCGTAATCAGTGCTTTTAGATCTATGAGCCAATAAATTCAAGGAATACAAGTGCGCACACAATTTCATTATCCCCTACTAGGCCGCCATTGAGACGATTTTTTAACTTTTATATTAGCCTAGAGCGTGATAATACACAGCCAATGGCGAGTATGCTCACTATACACCCCCAGAACTAATAATAAACGCACACGACGGCCGCGTGCACACGCGACACTCGCCCACTGATTCGTCAATAATATGCTATAGTGCGATGATGATATAACAAAAAAAAAACAACACACGCGTGCTTGATGCTAAGCATGCATCTATTTTATCTGCATAAACATGTTGATACATAACGTACTCATGTACCAAAATTAAAAAAGCCCACATAGGTTTACACGCCAAAGAAAGCCTTCGTCGTGTTCGCAACGATTCTTCACTTTCTTTTTTTAAATTTTACTTTTCACGGATCTAACGATACCACCAGCTCCGTGTCGCGCGGCTAATACAAAAATCGTTACTCAGACTGCCCGCGTCACACTTACGGCCCTGGCAAAAAAAAGTTTCGTGAGTGAATCAACTAATATCCATACGTCCGCATGAAAGTATATGAATGTCACACAAACGCAAAGACAATTTCCACCAAAGAAGCGCAAAGTCATTACACCCACACACGAGCAACCAGCGGGTCTATTCTATTTTTCAAACGACGAGCACGCACGATTTTTTTTTTTTTTTGTTTTTTTTGTTCTTTTTATTTCTCTTGCACGCGTGCAAAGAAAGAAAAAGCTCCGTTTTTCAAAGGGGTAGCGCCAGTTAGTCCACGTAGGGTCGTGAGCGCCGCATGACACGCGGGTCGCTTACACGCGCTAACCTTACACGACAGGCGTGTAATTACGGGGACCCCCATTACGCATTCAATGAGCACGGGTCGGAGCTTTTTTTTCTTCCTTTTTTATATACATACATCCACAGACTAGCTGCACAACCTGGGCACGAGACGTCTCTGCTTCTTTTTTTTTTTTTTTTTTTTGTTCATACGGTATTCCTTTGTCTACCCCCCCTGCACACTGTGGCTCCAACGTTATTAAAAACACTTTTCACGCAGTAATTACGCCATGCCAGAAGCTCGACGCGAGGCGCATCCAGAATATCAAAAAAAAAAGTGTGCTTGCAATTACTCACACAGATCAGCGTGCGAGTCGTTATCATACAACCCTCGTTTGTTTGTCCGGGCGATCAATGAATCATACTCGAAACAAAAGTTACGAATTGCATTTGATTCAATCAAGAAGGTTCGCATAGTTGAGAGATCACACGACAGAGTTTACCGACTGATAGCATAAACCGTACGTGTAGCGTACAAAGCCCATAGGTATTCGTAGTTTTGTTTATTCTCGGACAAGGCATCACTTTTCCATGTTAATTTATTCGATCGTAGTCGTACGCGATTTGGAAGCTTAGTGGGTGAAAAAAGCTCCGTTACTCGGGACAAGAGATTTGTAAAAGCAGTGACAGTGGCAAGTAAATATTATGCAGTAGTCGGTGAGCTCAGCGGCAAACGTTACAAAGGGACCTCGTCCGGTCGAGAGGAAAATAAAAACAATATCCCGACTGCCAACCAATTATCAATAACGATTGTACACGCGTACGTATAAAACACTGACGCATCGCTTGTGTGCTTATGCGCGTGCTCATTTGTTTTTTTTTTTCCTCTTTTTTTTTTTTTTTTTGTTATACGCTGCGCAAAAGCCTATAAATAAAATATGGCTGATTAAAACAAAAAAACAAAGTGCTATCGCTCAACGATGACGACGACGCCCGGGGGGAATCGACGCGTTTTCCTCATTATTGGCCACAGTATTCTCATCGCAGATAAGAGAATTTTGTAAACGATTACAATTATCGTACAGCACCAAAGCCCCAAAGGTGTACTCGCAAATGAGCTTGCATGGTTCTCCTCCGCGACGAGCGAGCGTAAACATTACTTCCCCTAGCCCCTACGTCATCAACACTTTTCGAGTGTGTACACTATATACCTGCCGTAATTTGTCCCTCTCTCGGACTCGGGGAGACGAGCATGCACCCGCTAAAGAGAGCACACTTTGCCAAAGCTCGAGCTTACGCACGGGGGATGTAAGGAGTGTGCACCCTTAGGGGAGGGGGGGAGCATCAAGTCGGTAAGTATGGAAAAAAAAAAAAAAAAAAAGAAAGAGAAAAGCACAACAAAGACGGGGAGGAGAGGGAGACTGACCTTCTTGACCTGGAAGTGCTCGGAGCGGAGCGTCTCGACGATCTCCTGCTCGGGCCTGTTGACCTGTTGAGCCACCGAGGATCGGAACCCGTCGAGCACCCCCTTGAACGTGAACTTCTTCATCTTGCCTCGGACTACTTGTCACTATATCCACCCACAAATGTCTTTATCTCTGTGTATATGTGTGTGTACGTTTATTGTACCCGGGCGCAAAATGTACACGCCATAGCCACCCCCCGGGTACCCTCGCTCAGAGCCAAGGTGGATGGTGTATTGTCACGGGTAATGGGTATTCAGTATTGTCACCCCATGGACACACGTGCGTACTAATCGCATTGGCCAACAGTCATCAAGTATTGGACACACTTTATATCATCGTCACTCGGTGTAATCGCCCAAAGAAACTGCAACGCACCACTGGGAAAACAGCTGCAAATGGGAGGGCAGGGGGGAGGCCGGGCCCCCCCCAACTTTGTACCCGTACACCCTATATATATAAATGTGTGTGTACGTGTGTACGCGGCTTGCGAGCTCCTGCACTGTCACGAGGCGACGGCCACCACACGCGGCAAAACAAGCGCACAAACAACGTGTATTATGTGCCAAAGAGTATACGCCGAGCTTGCGGTGGTGGTGCAAGTCTATAGCGTGGAACAGCCGTTGGCCGACTGGCACCGCCGTCAGTGGCTTACTCTACTGGCGCTCCCTCTCCCTGTATACACTGCACTTGTGTGGCAAAGGCGTGTGTATAGATATATATATGTAAAAGCCCCTTCTTGTCTATAAAAACACACGCGCCCGCGCACTCCTTTGGCGCTGCGAGCCAATACACAAGTGTAAGTATATATAGGCCGATGGACGGGACGGTATACACGCTGTCCAGGAGAAGTGCTGTTGTTTGTCCTTTGAAGCACGTATCCGTTCATAGGATCGCCCGAACGACAACGGCACCAATCGCAAAGGTACACGGAGCAGCGTGCACGCACATCGTGCAAGTGTATCGTGCTGGTTGCACGACGAGTTCACTACTCATACACGCCCGGAGATACCGTACTTTGGCCGGGGCATCCTTTAGCACCAAAGGAAGCGGGATCCTCACGAGCTTCCAACAGCTGCTTAATGCTACGATCGGTTGGTAAATCGGGTTTTTGTCGTTACTATATTTAATTGTAATTGGGTATTATTGTTGCGCAGATATAGAAGCAAAAGAAGACACGCGCGCGCGCGCGCGATAGCTGGCACAGCACACGACTGGCAGAGAGAGGGCACAGCATGTCCAACGTAGGTGGATCTGGTGGATAGGTGCCTTTTACCCACACATGTCATACCTACACGTACACACACATGTGCGCCTACCTACACCTAGTCGTCGTTATGTTGTCGTCGACGAGAGAGCTGGTTTGTATTGGTGTGTGGGTGATACAACGTCAGTTTGGTCTCTGCGCTTAAGTAGGTATACGACGGCGGCCTTGCCGATTCCCTCCTCCTCCTCCTCTCCTCCTCCCTCGTTCTCTGGAGCAGGCGCGTGCGCGCGGCTAACCGGGCCCCAGTGGGGCGAGGAAACACACGCGATATAGAGCGATATACTATAGGTATCCATCTCTCTTCTGCTGCTGTTTTCACGCAGCGCCGTAGCCCTGGCCGAGTATAAAGTATATAGGCGAGCAGTGAGCGTGTGTGTATATATATACAACGACACCTAAGGTGGCCCTTTTGGCCTATACGTGCACAGTACCTGTTTATTTTCGCTTTTCCGCTCTTTTATACCCATCAACGCTCCCTTCTTCTTCTTCTTCTTCTTCTTCTCTACACTCCAATTTCAACCCTCATCCCTCTGTAGGCCCCGCGTGCGATGATTACATCCATGAAGGGGGGAAAAAAAAAACAAAAGGGTTCGGAGGGGTGGAATTCACCCTCTCCCCCTGGACACGTACAACATATACGTACACGTGTACGTGTTTGTGGTGACCTTCTGGCTCGCGCTCTCTGCCCCGATGATAATTGTGATGATGGTTTCATGTACATATAGCGAGCTTTTACCCCCCACCCCTTGGCTCTTCCACACACGTGGGCACTGTTGGTCGGGGGGGGGGTGCCTATATATATATATCCCAAAGGGGGTGGGTTGATTCGACAACCCGTTCCCTCGTATCTGCGCTCGCAAGCTCACAATATTTCGGATCTTTAATTGCACGAGCCGAAAAAGCTCTTAAGCAGAACCCCAATGTGCACGAGCGTTTATCGGGTGCTGGAACACTCGTGTGTGTGTGTGTGTGTATACGCACAAGTGATGATTTTCGGGGCACACGGGTGAGGAGAGGGGGCGTACACTTACATGCGACATCACGGCAATGCAGTGTGTTTGATCGTGGCCAGATCAATAACTGGCAACAGGCTCGTGACGACGATCCCCTCCCCACTTGGAGCACCGCGATGTAAGCGCGATGCTTAACGGGGATGAGGAGGATACCGGCCGAAGGGAAAGAGACGCAATTATGCAGATGGGTGGGGTACGGGCTATCGGGTCGTACTCTTGCCGTGAGATGGCTTGCGCGGGCTTTTCGTCTACTTGGCCGACCGAGTCGCGAGCTTGCGCGGGGTAACGAGAGCATAAAAGTTACTGTTTCGCTTCAAATTATTTCACATTTTTCACTAGCGTCAATTAGGTCCTTGGTGCGGAGTCAAATTAAAAAAAAACTAAACAAAAACAAAACAAAAAAAAAAAAAAAGTTTACTTTGGACAAATACTTATTTATTGCTGCTGGCAAATCCAAGTTACACGCGTGTGAGTTGAAAACTTCACCGGCTCTCTCTTGCGGTGTTTCGGACAATGTCGAGCGAAATTGCGCGACGGTGGGTAAAAAAATATCTCCAGATTCGGCGTCGATTACATTTTACGGTTGCCTACTACACTATTATACATGTACTTTGATGGCCGATAGCATGATGTGGTATGAGCATAATGTAATTATGTAATATGTCAGTACGAAAGCACAACCGTACAGGGTAATGTAGATTTTGCCGCAGACTCTGACAAAAGCTCAAAACTGTCGATTGATGGTGGGTTGTACAATTGTGTAGATTATCGAGTTATTCTCATTAAATTGTAATTGCGTTGAGCCAACTTAAAAAACAAGGGAAGGAATAAAAACATGAGCTTGCAAGCTCTCTTGATCGTATATGTACTGCACACACACTCGCGTACAATAAGGCCCACGAATAATCATGCACACGTGCACTGCTGTCTTTACTCTGCCTAAACATCTCGGACTACCCCGTGACTTATTCTTTCATTTATTTACATTTTTTTTTTTTTTTTTTTTTTTTTTTTCGTGGATGCCTACCTTGACTGGAGCCAAAGAGAACAAGGATAATCCAAGTACATCCACGGGGAATCAAAGTCACATTATGTTTATTATTCTTTAAGGGGATCTCACAAAACTTTAGTTCTAAAAGTATTGAGCGAAAAAAATAATTTTTTATAATAAAACGAGCCCCAAATCTATTCAAATCTTTCTTATATCCTTGCTTTTTTTTCCATATCTAACAGTAAGCTAAAAAAAAAAAAAAAAAGTCTGTTGCATTAACATGCATATGCATAAATGATGAAATAAGTAGTACACAAAGATTTTTAATTTTTGTGAATAAAGGAAAAAATAACTTTGTCTTTACGTTTGAAAAATGAGTCACGAATTAATCATACAACAATACATCTTTTTCTTTTACCAATGTAGCCAAGAACAAAAAATGATCGTGGGTAGTGTACGTGCGCTTTTAATATTCAAAAGATATTGAAATCGTTTCAACAGTTTTGAGATTACTGGTATACATTATGCATTTTAAATTTAGAAGTGTATATATACATATATATAAATTAAAGGCGCAACAATTTTACAAATGAACTATTATTAAAATTGTACTGTTGTGAGATGCCTCCCGTCGGTTTTATACTTTTCAGCATCTCGATCTTGTATTCGAGTAATACTGGTAAGATGACCGATATAAATTGTACAAACTATTTCTCTACCTCTTGCAAATATAATTATTTTTTAAGGAAACAATTAAAAATTATTACATCGAATCATGATGGCACGGTATAAGTATAATTATATGTAATCCAATCATAACAGCACTAAAAACTGTAAAACAGTTGGCGGAACCCTTTTTTTTTTTTTTTTTTTTCCCCCTTTTTGCAGCCAACCGATTCGCGCGCACGCGACTCTTTTATCCGTACCGCCGCGCGTGAACATGTATACGTGTACACACATGCATAATAAATGAATCATCTTAAAGCTTGTTGACCGCATCCGCCGCCACTGACTACCTATATGGTACACTATGACGAATACACTGCACGTATCTAATGGTTTTTTTTTCCATCCAGTACCCAGAAGGAGGTCGTCTTTCTTTTCATNTTTGTAATAAAAACTGCCTTAAAAGGTACTTTGCGCATAAATAGTGTACTAATACGCTGTTATCATACAGGTGACAGCACCCAAAATACATACGTAGGTTTAAAATCAAACAAAATAAGGTATTATCGTAAAAACTTGGTTACAAATCGTCGTCCGAATGATAACACCAATGGTGCAAACTTAACGACGCGATGGCAAAAAAGAACAACATTTTTCAACGTTTCTAAAACGTCGCGTTACCGTTGGGGTTTGCACTTTTGTCGATTGGGAATTTTTTTTTCCTTCCCACAGTTGAAGGCCTCCCAACAGAAAACATCATTGGAGGCGATCCGGCAGCAATCGAAGATTACCCATATCATGCCTTCGTGGCTTTACCAAATAGCTTATGTAACGGTGCCATTATCAGCGAGTGTAATGTACTCACGGCAGCTCATTGTATCATGAACAGAGATGGTAAATTCAAGACAAGTATGGTTACAATTGTCGCAGGGATCAGCAATTACAGACAAAACTCTCCGTTTAGATTTAATGCCAAAATCGATAGAGCATATATTATACTTACCCGACAATTACGACATTGTAAGTGACGATATCATTTTGCACGACGACATTGCCGTTCTCAAGGTACACGTGCTCGCACGGAATTTTTCGTTTTTTTTTTTTTAAATCTTAAAATTTTATAACCATGAGCTTTGAATTTTTCCGTTGTTTCAATCAGCTCGACAAAATGGTACCCTTGGGACAACGTGCACATTGGCAAAGCGGTGCCGCTACAGCACTGCGATTGCGACGATTTCAGATTATTTGTTCGCGAGAAAGCCATCCTCACCGGTTTCGGTTACGACACAATAATCAATTATTATACAAACAATGATTTTTCGGTTGTCAATGGGACCACAAGTGGGGGTTTGCGGTACGCGAAGACACGCGTTGTGCCATTGGATGACAATCCCTTACAAATTTCGGAAACGGAATACTTTCACTGCCGAAAAAAAATTTTCGCTCAAGACATGAGAATCAAAGGTGCCTACGTATATAGTAATATACCAAACACCTTGTGTATTAATTAATTTTTAGCTGAGTGAAAAAATGTAAAATTTGTATTTTCAATGTTTAGGGTGGCAGTGGAGGTCCTCTTGTGTTAAAAAAGGAGGATCAAAATATCCTTATTGGATTGTTAACTAATGGTTGACAAAGTTGCAATGAACGTGATTCAGTAGCGTTTTACGCCAGAGTCTCATATTACAGAAATTTCATTGACGACGCAATGGTTGATAAAATCGATGGTTGCGATGAATGTTTGAGCTTCGTTGCCAAAAATAATGTTGGTAGCACGTATTTATCGATTCAACGGTGTTTCTCAAATTGTTTTCATTCAAGCAGTCTTTTTCCAACCTTTGTGTCGTAAAAGACAGTAAAAAGTGATCGCTGAGAGAAAAACTCCCCTACGAGCCCCTGCTTGGCACCCTCTCGATGGGGGAACAATCCCGGCCCTGTAGCTCCCTAAACGTGATAATTATAACTTTACAAGACACTTTTCTTTCTACCGTGGTTATATTTCAAATGGTTGATGCACTTCATCTTACAGATTAAGTTGTACCGCAGAGCCATGTTACCCATATTACCCCATCATGGAATATATATCCTGATGTTGTAGGGTATACAAACTTGTAGTCTTGTACATAAACCTTTATATATACCATTTGTGAATGCGCGTGCGCGCTGCTGACTGAGAGCGGGCCAGCGAGGGGGGGAGAGGGCAGGGCGAGAGAGCTCTCCATATCACTCCATACTGGTAAGCACGTAAGCAGGCCGCTGCATATGGCTGCATTGCAAGAGTGTGGTCTGGGTGTGCTCTATATTTTCAGTCTTTGTCAAATATTTTCTCTCCATCCCGTATAAGCTAATAAGTACTAATCAGTAATCACTTGTGATACTACTTATACTTCTGTATAGATATATCGTAAACGTAAAAAAGAGACGCGTTTTACGCGTATAGTAAGTGTGCGGTAACTTACACTTATACATATAGTGTCGAGAAATCTTCCAACCCAACCCTATACGACCACCGTCGAGGACGGGGGGACACGCCAGACACACGCGAGTATAATACCTGGGGGTATTACTTATCGATCCAACGCCAATGGGCTATATCTAGTTTTTCCCCCATTCTCTCTACATATATATACCTGGACAGATAGGTAATTAGGTACGCTGCCTTGGCTGGGGACTCGTCTTCTCCCAGGCGTAGACAACCAGTTCTTCCTCTCGTAGTTGGAACGCTGTGCCGGCGTAACATCGAGAGGACGTGGCGTGCGACGCTCGAGACTCGAGAGAGAGAGAGCCGAGGAAAGTGCAGGTGAAGGAGGAAGCATCCGAGAGGGTTTCTTAGTAACAGCCTGCAGCGTGAAAACACGACCCCAAGATGATGTACACGGTGAGGATGCAATTCATTTGCGTATTTTTGCTCAGGGGGATGAGCTTCTCTGTTTCACTTACATTATTTATCCTTTCATGCGAACGCAAGTTTTGAAGATTCATGTTTTAAGCATCATTATTGTGATAATACTTTTGATGGTTATGTTTAACTTGGTGGGCCAAAAGGGTTTTTGACACCCACAGCCTTTTATGGTAAAGGATTTTTACTCATGTACTTTTAGGGGACTACTGCTACACAGGACACGAGATTCAGCGACAAGGAGAAAAAGCTCCTGAAGCAGATGAAGTTCGGTGACTCCTTGACCCAAAAGGTACCGTTTGATATGGCTGCTTTTGCTAATTGTTATTACATTTAAGGCATTGCGTTACTTTTACCTATTGAAACTGTTGAATAAATAATGAAGGTTTACTCTAATAAAACTTGTGTGTATGTAATCATAAGCTTACTAAATTTTATCATGTTTGTGTTCTAAAATGGCTACTTGGCTTTAATCCGGTCCAGCCATATTGGAAGTTAAATACACTCACACAAACACACACATAGTATAGTATCATATCACAAGATTGTTTTCACACTTCAGTTTAAATGGGATAATATGAATTTTTGATTGCCAAAAAAATCTCAAGTTTACAACATTGTTTTTAACATTTAAGAAAAAATATATCATACATTATTATATTTTTTATCTACGAACGAGAATTTTTGTGCTCTTGCAGGTGGATATGCAAAAAGTTAAGCTTGATGTCATCAAACCCTGGATTACAACAAAGATCACTCAAATCCTCGGCATGGAAGATGACGTGGTGGTTGAATTTGTTATTAATCAGCTGGAAGAAAAGGTAAGAGAAGCGCATTTTTTAGCCATGGAATACACTACAACTACTAGTATTGTTATTATTAAAATTAATTTTATCTGTGTCATTACCAATACTATTGGTAATATGAAAATATTTACGTTCACTAAGCTTTTTCCCCTCATCGTAATACATTGTTAAAAACCTGTTATTTCAGCTCACACCGTCTAGTTCAACTAGTCTTTTATCTATAAAAAATTTGTGCAAATTACCAAAGATATGATTAATTAATACTGATGCTATGGTGATTTTGCTCAAATTTTATCCAGTAATGCACTAAATCATGAGATTTTTTGACCTAACGTATGAATACTCTCAAATTTTAGTTTATTATTTGGTCAGGCATTAAAGTTATACCTAGGTTTTGTTTGTACTTGAACTTTTTGTTTAGTTGTTTCTGTTTTTTCTCTTATTTTTGACATAATCACACATAAAAATTGATTAGTTTAATACACTGAAAAACCATTATAGAAGAAAAAAATTGTGATTAAACAAGTCACAATTTTATAAAAACAATAAGATAATTTCCATGGTAAGTAAGTTATAAATTGTAAACACTTGTTTTTAAATGAATCCCAAATTTATAAGTGTTTAATTCTGTTAACGCATTTAACTGTTAAAATCAAAATTTTTTCATAATTTTGTTGACGTTGTAAGGCAAGAACGTTGTATAAAATTATTTTCTTAAAAAAACAATGAATCACACAATGTTGGGCCTCTTAAATAAAGAAGAAAACAAAGTTTTCTTTAGTTAAAGATCCGGTGTAATAATTGACATTATATAATCGTCATCGAAATTTTTATCTATGATCTTTTAATTCCCCGTTAGTCTAAGTAGAGACCATTGGTGACCGTTGGCTCTTGACACCCCTTTGAATCCAAATGGCATTCGGATGTGCACTCCTCGGCATCCGATTGGCCGCCTTTCCAGCCTTCGCTGCAGCAGCAGCGCTACCCGTCTCCTTGCACTCACCGTGGGACGCTAGTCGCTTGCATCACGTCATCAACATCATCCTCATCGCTCCAACTTCAGCAGTAGCAGCAGCAGCTTCAACGTCAACTGTGGCAATGCTTGCCGCAGTAGCCACCTTGTGCGGGCTATCTTGCCCGACAGCTTTGCTGCACACGACACGTTTGCAGAAAGCAGTTGTCGCTAAAGCGACATCACCAAGGAAGCTATTGGCTTCTGATCATCTGGCCAGCTTCAGCTGCAGCGATGGCATGTCAATGCCGTCTGCTGCTGTCTACCTACGGTTGCTGTTGCTGTCAACGTCGTCATCGTCATCGCCGTCGTCGGCGCTGGACTACGGCTGATACACACTGGGCTATAACAGCTCACATGGGATACCGTGGACTTGAGTTGCTGCACATCTCGTGACTTGCACACGCAGAGCGACTTGTTAAACTACCCGGGAGAATGCGCGAGAAAGCGAGCGAGAGAAAGAATTGGCCGTTCGGGGCCCTAAAGCGCGATTGGCAACGGCAAGCATTTATCGTTGATGCAGGAGGTATTGTTAAACAATTTGCGTGACTATAATGGCTCTGAACGTTGCGAGCGAACGTACACTTACTACGCTCGTCACTTACTTATTTAGGACACGCTCTCCTTGGACTCGTCGACAATGGACATCATCAAATAATAATCGTTTATATAAAAACAAAACAAAAAACATTATGACATTTATAAATTCTGATTTTTTTTCTACTAATACATTATTCGCAGCACCAAGACAACTAATTTGATTCTTTTTATTTTACTTCCATCCAAGCAGGTTTCACAGTAAGTTAAGTCTTTGTGACTATCATTGGTAAATTCTGTAACAAAAGAAAATCGGCTTTTTCGAGGGGGAAAAGCAGTTGACGAATTTATAATTTTTTATATTTTTAACCAAAATGCTTTGAAAAAAGAAATATCGCATGCAACTTAAACACATTACTAGTTTGTAAGCAAAATGATAAAGTTTATTTTTAGGAAATATAGTGGATAAACCTTTTTTGTTTTCAGTACCCAGACCCTCGCAAAATGCAAATCAATTTGACAGGTTTCCTAAATGGAAAGAATGCACGTTCTTTCATGGGGGAACTGTGGGACTTGCTTGTGTCTGCCCAAGATAACGACACTGGAATCCCAGAAGCCTTCTTACAACAAAAAAAGGATCAAATTAAGAAACGACTAGTAATTATAATCTCTTTTTTTTAATTATAAAATAATATCTTTTGCCAATCATTAATATTATCTCAGAATGAGATTTGTATAGTCTAGCTCGGAAAAAGGACATACGTATATACGTTGGAGGCCTACGTGGCCGGCGGCCTTGCATATAGGCATACATTTTCTTTTTTGCTCCTTCTGAGATTTCTGCCCTATTATACATGCACTTTGCCAAGTTACGGTTAGCTCCGAACTCCGAACAAATCTATTCGCGGGAAAATAGTATGTAAGTATCTTTCAGTAAGGTAGCAAATAATATTACTAACAATAGTGAAAAAAATACTCTTCCCTTCGTGATCGAATACTGTGAAATTGCAAAATTTACGATGTAAACTTACCCCAAACTGTCTGTATAGAATAAAACAAAAAAGCGCTACGTGATGTCGCTAACCTCAAAACAATTATCAGTTAACCTACATGCATAAGTGTCTCGTCCGTCCATTCTAATCGAAAGTATAATGGAGTCGTCGATTAATACTGAAGTAAACAATTTTGATTTGCAACAGGAAGAGCAAGAAAAGTTACAAGCATCCTTAGTTGACAAAGATAAGGATAAAGATAGAGAAAAGGAGAAAGATGGTAAGGAGAACCACGACAATGACATCAAAGTAAAAAAAGAAGAAAAAGAGCGTGACTCCTCGAAAGATCGTCGAAGAGAACGCAGCAAAGACATTGAAATGTAAGTGTGTCTTTTCTTTCTTAGTGTGTGTTTAATGTATGTGTAAATAGCGTAAAAAAATTAAGTCACATAATTACATCAGTAGAAAAAGGAGTAAATCTAAAGAGCGGCACAAAGATCGCGATCGTGGCCGCAAACGCAGATCCTCGTCTGCATCGCCTAGCAAGAACTCGACCAAGGATAGCAAAGATATGGCCGATGTACTGAAAATCGATGGTGATGATGCTCCTATTCAAGTGGAAAATAACATTCCACTGTTGCCATTGAAAACTAAACCGTAAGTCTGAAGCTTGCCTCCCAACTACATTTACAAAAAGTGCAATATTTTATATTTAATCATTGATTACTATCTTTGCAGAGAAGCTGCTGTTGCAATCTCGCGCCTGCAAGCTAAATTGATGAGCATTGCTGATGGAAAGAAGAAAAACAACACTGAAGAAGCGAGTCAAGACGGTAAGCGCAAATCACGCTCAAAATCGCCGTCGGTGCGCTCAAAGAAATCGCGCTCCAAGTCTCCTACTTACAAGCATCGCTCGCGCTCTCCTGTCTCCAAATCGCGACGCTCGCGTTCCAAGTCCAAGTCACGACGCTCCCGTTCCAAGTCCAGGTCTCGGCGATCGCGTTCCAAGTCCAAATCGCGCAGATCACGCTCCCGCTCCCGTTCCCGAAGATCGAGGTCTATCTCCAAATCTAGACGATCCAGATCCAAGTCCAAGTCAAGAAGGTCGAGGTCCAAGTCAAAATCGCGGCGCTCCAAATCTCTCTCCATAGATCGTTTGAGGTCCCGTCGCTCCAAGTCTAGATCGAAATCAAAGGGCAAACGCTCCTCGCGTTCGGTCTCCCGTTCGCGCAAGAAGTCGCGATCTAAGAGTGTGGACAGAAGCAAGTCTAGGAAATCGCGCTCGGTGTCTAGCGACTCGCGCTCTTCAAAGTCACGCTCCAAGTCTTTGTCCAAAAGTCGTTCAAAGAGCAAGTCGCGCTCTAAGAGTAAGTCGGTCGAGAAAAGCAAGCCCTCGGCGGTGGCGAAAAAGGCACGTAGTAGAAGCAGCAGCAGCAGCATCTCAGACTCTGATGATGATAAGAAGGACAAGAGCGATTTTGAAATCAGAAAGAAGAAAGACAGTGTACAGTCTAAACGCTCGTACAGAAAAACCAACAAAGATGACAGTGGAAGCGACAGCGACTCTAGCCGTGAGAGGAAGTCTACGACCAAGCGCCGTAGTAGTCCCTCGCCCAGGAAGGACCGTTCAAAGGATAGGTCGCGTGACAGGTCGCGCGATCGATCGCGTGATAGATCTCGTGACAGATCTCGCGACCGACACAGGAGGTAAATCCAGATTTTAGTTATTTTTTTATTTAGTTTTTGTGACTTATCTTTAGTGTGACTCTATTAAAGTGAAATGTCACGTTTACATAATGATTGTTTTTTATTTCAAGCAAAGTCGTGAACTTCTGTAGGTAAATTTTAAAGGCGACAAAATTCTTAAATTGACTTTCACTTAGTTTGTCAATATTAAACATTTAAAATCACGAACTTGTGGAAATGCTTTGTATTCTAGCTCACTTTACTTGTATCACATGCGTTTTGATTTAACTTTGATGTTAGTACCGATTCATCAGTACATATACACCCATGGTTTTAAATCCTTATCTTTGAAACTGTTTGGTACTGAGACTTTGCGGTTTTTCAGGCGATCAATTGATAGAGATAGAAGGCGTGACAGGGACCGTGACCGTCGAGATAGATACAGTGGAAGCCGCAGCATGAGACCACCCTCTTCGCGCAGAGCTCCCAGCAGACGAAGGTAACTCGAGATACTATAATTTCTTGCCGCAAGAGTGTACGAATAGGCTACTCATCGAGATCTTTATTTACAGGAGTCCTCGTAGGTCGCCAGCCCGTTATCGTCGACGTTCGCCGAGTCCAAGACGACGTCGCTCCCTGGACCGTAGACGACGCTCTTCGGAGCGCCGTTCACGGAGACGCTCGGTCGACCGTGATCGTCGAGGTTCTCGGCGACGCAGCTCGGACAGGGAGAGATCGCGCCATCGCTCATCTTCCCGCGACCGCTCCAGTCGTAGGCGTGACCGTGACCGGTCGCGCGATCGGGATCGTCGACGCCGCTCGCGTAGCAGGAGCTCCACCCGCAAGGGCTCCACGTCACGCGATACCAAACGCCGTGCTGACTCCGAGGAAAAGCCCAAAGCGCCTACGATCACCACCACACCCGCCTTCACTGCTAACAGCGCAACAACAGCTCCACCCACTGTCAGTGCGACCAAGAAGACAACGAGCCTGATGGATGTGGTGCCACCTGATTCGTCGCTTCTGCAGATGCCGCCGCAGCAGGCAGCTCAGGTCGTCGTGGCTGCAGCGCAAGTTGTCGGTGCTGAGCTGAAAAAAGAGCTGAGGAATGGTAGGTCAAGGTCCAGCAGCGAGCACAGCAGTGACTCCTCATCCAGTGATGATGATGATGACGAGATGGCTAGGTGAGTGCTTTCAGGCTGTCGCTGTTTGTTTTGGTTATTGCCTATCTACGCCTGACTAACGGTGATGGTTAACTTTTACTGGGTCCAATCATTTATCATCTGACTAACGTCTGCTTTTCCTAACTAACATGAAAAATTTTTTGGCTGATGAATAAAACTATAATTATTAACATTTGCATATATTTCTCATAAATAACTTTACTATGATTATATATCTTATAAGGGTGATGGTTAAATCTTGGTAAGCTACTCTCTTGTATTGCATTAATGGTACTAATTGATTCTCCTACAATAATATAACTTTGCCTATTTATTGCCACACATGGGTATTATCGAATTAATTTATTGAGTATACTTTATTCAAAATTCTTTTTTGAAAAAACATTGGTTGGAGCTGTACCTAAAACTTTGGAAACTTATGGCTTAGAAAGGCAAAAAAAAATTTACATTTTTAGTCATTGAATAATCAAAAAAGTATCTTTAACTTTTCTTATTTTTACTAAGACATCCAGTTCCGTTGTAATCTTTTTGATCATCTTACGTGGATTTTAAAAATTTAATTGATGAGCTTCAAAATTGAATGTTTTCTTTTAATATTTAAATGGAAAAGAAAAAAGATTACAACTTAAATAACATATAAAGTTAATAATAACCAAAATAAAACAAAAACTTTTTTTGCTTCGCATTCAATTATGATGAATATCAATACATCTGGAAAGTAAGATTTAGAATATTTACGTGCACAAATATTTTAAATAGATGTTTAGTTTTTATTGATTATTTTATAGGTAAAGATAGATGCAATCTTATTTATTCGATTATAAATATTGCGATGAAAATTTTACTTGGTTAATCCAGAATAGTATTTAAAAAAAAAAAATTTAATTATCAAGTAAAAAATGAAGATGGTAAATAATCAATAACTAAGAAATACCTCTTGCCTATAAAATAAACTTGATTCAAAAATTAGAAAGACCACCATTTCGAAAATAAAAACTTCTTTTATTTTCCAACATTTTATTTTATCACGTACATACATCTTAGCACTTAAATTTTTCCTCAAACACACGGCGTTATAATTTAGAATTTAGAATTTTCGAAATTTTGGTCCAGCGAAGAAACATTTTCAATTTTTAACAGTATAATCTCTTAAACTTGATACAATCTGATTTTTGGCCTTTCATCTATGCCTTATGTGAATAAAGATAAACAGGGATTCTTGTTAATTTTTTAAACCAATTGTTGCTCTGCAGTAGTTTTCAAATTTCAATATTTATTTTGCCTTAAAATATAATAAGTTTATCAAACACTAATTATTTCGTTTTTAATACAGAACAATTAATTAAAATTTGCAAATTAGATTGAATTCATAACTGAAGCTGCGACATTCTGAAAAACAAATAATTTTTCAACTTTTATTTTTAATAATTACCAGATTCCATTACTTTTATCAATAATAGTTTGTTTATAGAAGTAATAGGTTTTGTATGGACTTTTTTTTAAACAAAATTTTAAATATTGCAATACAATTAACTTTCGAAATTGTCTACTTGTCCACAGTACTGACAGCTCAATAAGGTGAATTTGTCACTCATCTCGATTTTTAATTTGACAATACTTGTAAAAGTAATGAAGTAGAATGTCTGCTTGAAGTGTAAATACAAAATTATTCAGAAAAAAGAAAATTGTAACTAGTGAAAATCATTACAATAGGGAAGGTCAAAAATAAGAGTTTTAAAAGTTAGAAAACTAAAGCTTCGATAACTGAAATTTCGAAAGCTTAACTTTTCTATGAAAAAACTTTCCTCTACTCAAAACCTAACATTTCTGTAAGTTTTAATTTTCGAAATTTTAGTTTTCTAATTTTTGAACTTCTTTTTTTTCATCTTCTTTAAATTGAGGCTCACATAAAGTTTAGGGTGATATCATGTACTGCGTCATAGAGCTTTGCATTAAAATATAAATTAAAGCTACTTTGCTCTTTTTACAACAGAGAGCATATTGCAGAACTCTTACATGCAGCTTTTGATATTAGCTCTATTGTATTGAAGTATGCGTTTTTCAAATGTTTTTAAACTATCAACAAATGTTTTCTTGGTTTTAAAAAAAAAACAAAAACAGGATTTACACAGTCAACATTTTAAGTTTTCAAGCCTCAATTTAAATTAATCGGATTTCAAAGATGTTACTAATGACATACGTGGATTATCTCATTGAATTTCACCAAGTACAAGAGAATTTCATTGTATTTTTAATATCAACTTTGAAATTCGGTATATGTAAACATTTTCCAAGTGGATATTCTGTTAATTTTTCTTTCTTGTACCGTATACATAATCTCATCAATGAGGAAGTTCAATAAATTTTAATTTCTATCATTTTTTTAATAATTGGATGCTCTTTATCATAGAAATTTCACACTTACTATATGGTGTAAGTCCAAGGAATTACCTAAGAAAATACTTCCAAAACCAGATTTGATGTTTTTTACCAATATATTTACCAATTTAACAATAAATAAATATAAGTTAAGACGTAACGTCGTCATTTAAGATGGAATATTCAAATCTAGATTTGGAAGTAAACAGTTGCACATAAGGAATACTAAATTTAGTAATAATCATATGTACATAATGCTTTATTTAATTTGTGATTTTTTTATTTTGCGCCATCCTTTGCTATCATATGGTTATGGTTTATTAATAGAAGGTAAGAAAAGTATTTTTTTAAATCATTGGTAATTTACAAATTTGTTTTATACTACGTCAATTGAGAACAAAATTTCCCAAGAAATAAAAATTTTCGTTGAAAACTTCCTCATTGATTCAGACAAAATTAATAAAAAATGTCAAATTAAAAATCTTTTAATGTTTTGAATAGAAAATTGCTTATCCTGTACCATACAAATCATGTTAATAAAATAGGGTAAGTTTAGTAATTATGTTTAAAAAGTTTTAACTTTTTTTTTTTTTTTTTTTTTAATAGAATTGTACATTTTATTTTAATTAGAATTGCACAAGATCCCAAAAAATTGCTCAAACATTATTATTATTATTGTTGATTATCATTGTTATTGAGTACGTAATGTTGATGTTAACTCCAAGAGTATTTTTATGAGAAGATAATACTTTATGAAATGTGTACTATCTAAAATATTTGATATAGTCAAATACATTAAATTGATGAATCAATGTGGACTTTATTAGAATTTCTTTATTTTCAATGTTGGATGATGATCAACTAACTAAAAAATCATCCTGCAAAGGCAAACTTACGATAACAAACGCAATTGTATTTTTGTACAATTGCTAATACAAAAAAGGTATTTTTATTGTCCAAAACTCCTGAGTAAAATTTAAATAACAATCCAATTCATCCTAAAGTAGGGTGGTGGAAACTTTCTCTTTTCATGCTTGCTAAAATATTATTAAATATCTTTCAAGGTTACTATATTCTCCTACTAACTAAACTTTAACATTCGCAAAATTACTATCTACAAAAACATCAAGAAAACTAATTTCACTAACGCTCATCTTGATTGTTCATTGGCTTGCGTATTGTCTTCTCTTAACATTTATTAAAACGTTGTTGCAACTAACGGCCAACCATTAAAACTGCTAGTCTAATCTATCTTATTTTATATTAACATAATAAGCGCTGTAATGCGCAACTATTCAATCTTGAGTTGCTTGTATGTATATCCATCAAAAATTTAATTGAAAAAAGTATCTGCCAGTGTATCATCTGACATGTATGAAAAACTTGACTAACATCACTGTGTTTTGTTGAAACGCTGCAGAAAATTACTGGAGCAAAAGGTGATGCAGGAGAAAAAGGAGCGGGAACAGGCCGAGGAGAAAAAGCGCCTGGAGAAAGAGCGAATCGCCAAAGAGGAGGCGATAAAACGGGCCGCTGCCGCCGCCGCCGCTGCTGCTGCCGCCGAGAAGGAAGCTAAGGAAGCTGCTGCTAAGAAGACCGCCGATATCCCTATGCCCAAGAAGGTCGAGCCCTCACCGAAGAAGATACCAGTCTCTGCTCTTCCAGTGTCCAGGCACAGAGTAATATGATTTTCCGATTCGTTTGAATTTTACCAATGATATATGAATATAGGGTAACTCGTGACTTTTCCTTGTAACTTTACAGTTCTCTCGCAGTTTATCCCGCACGCCATCACCATTTAAGAAAACGGAGGACTTTATCATAGAAAAAAATAAACAAAGACTTTTAGAGTAAGGTTTTTTTTTTTTTTTTTTAATCCATTCAAAGTTTGCAATTTTCAGGTGATTTTCATGATTGTAAATGACGTTGATTTTCAGAATGGAGAAAATGTTAACTCCCAAGGTGAGCGAAGTCACAGTTGCGACAACCGAAACTTTCCCTTTGAAGAAGGATGAGAAAATTTCAGCCAAACTTGCTACAAAGCCCGCTGTTGAAGAAAAGAAGAGCAGTTCGCAAAAAACAAATGATGTTTCGTCAAAGAAAGTTGTGGAAAGCAGCAAGAAATCCAAGCGTGACAAACGTGACGTTTCTACGGATTCTGATGATAGCGATAATGGTATGTATGAAATCAAGAAAGAAGTCGTAATCTTCTGAATTAGTAATGTATTATTGACAACCATTCTATTTAAAATTATTAGACAAGAAAAAATCTAAAAAGGTTGAAAAGACGAGAAAGTCTAGAAAAACTTCTACGGATGATGACAAGTCAGATAAGAGCAGGGCAGAATCAAGTTCAGCATCGGAAGATGAAAAGAAGACTGTAGATAAACATAAGAAAAATAGAGATTCGAGCCGATCAGGTACATGTAAATAAAATAATTTATTTTCGTAGTATGAAGATTTCCGTACCATATTTTCAATTATTATTTTATTATCTTAGCTTCCACAGACATTCGATCAAAGGATCGTGTAAAGGATACTAAAAAACGTGAAACGAGTGAAAATGACAAGAAACGGATAAAAGATAAAGAAGAAGACAAAGATACCAAAAAATCTCGAAAGTCCCGAAGAACATCATCTTCACCAGAGGACGAACAGAGACCTAAGAAAATTAGCAAACAAGACGATGAAAAGGAGAAAGATAAGGAAAAAGAGAAAGAAAAAGAAAAAGAAAAATCCCGATCTAGAAAGGCTAAGAGAGACTCTAGCTCAGAGGACGAGCCGAAAAAATCTCGCAAACGAAAAGAAAGTTCTTCTGAAGACGAGCGTCCCAGAGGCAAAAAACCAAGGAAAGACTCTAGCAGTGAAGATGAAGTTAAATCAGCCAAGGCAAAGAAGTCAAAGCGAGATTCCAGTACAGATGAGGAGACTGAAAAAGAGAAAGAAGTGAAGAAAAAGAAGAAGAATGATGACAGCAGCGACGAGGAAAAGGTTAAGAAGAAAAGGAAAAAGAAGACCAAAACAAGTACAAGTGAATCGGAGGTGAGATTACATTATTGCAATAATATTGTTCTTTAAGTTAATACGTGAATTATTACTAAAGCAAAGAAATTATTTCAGGAAAGTGAAGTGGAAGAAAGGAAAAAGAAGAAAGACAAAAAGCATAAGAAACACAAAAAACACAAGAAGCATAGAAAACATAAGAAAAAAAAGGTAGCGGATTCAGAAGAATCTGATGCAAGTGAAGCAAACACTGAAGAAATTGAAAAAAAACTTCGAGAAAAAGCTTTGAAATCAATGAAAAAAGGACACAGTGCTGAACGAAGTGACTAAAATTTAAAAACCTATTATTAAAGATTGTATAAAATTCGAATCAATTGGAATATGTAATTTAAAGTTACATAACCGTAATAAATATACTTTGATATCTATTAATGAGCATGACAGATATGCAAAGTTTCATGGCTTTGTACAGAACAATTGTAGATTCTTGGGTATTTTATGCTACAGCATCAAGCTCTTAAGCATAAACTACGTTTTCTTTTATTTCAGTAACTACTTTCAACTACATGTACAAGTAAATGCTTTTACTGAGTAGTTAACGAATAAAACTGATATCTTAGCTATTTATTTTATTTGATCCGTGTTCACCAGTCCTGGGTTATTTCGTTTACTTTCAATAATAGTAAGAGCATTTTCGCTTTTATAACTAGACAACTTGAAACCTTTCCTTATATGTAATTTTTTAATTGTTATAATAAAAGGTGGTAAACAGTTAGATTGACTTGTTTTTCTAGATCATTACATTTCCATCATTAGTCATAAGTAAATATCTTCCTAGTCCTCTGAACTTCATAAATAAATTTAAGGTTTTTTTGTAAGTACTTTAATACATAAACATATATTTTATTTTCGCTCGTAGGTGAATTCTTACAAAATAAATAAAAAAATATATAAACAATCTCTTTACTTTCACAAAATTTTTAACAAATCTTCCCAATCAGGAGCACATATCAATGTACTATTGATTCTTCCCAGATTAACGAGATCGTGTACCATTTCGTCTATTTTTGCAGCTATTAGATCCTGTAATTATTTTTCACCATTACAATGTAACTCGTCACATTAAATTTAAAAAAATATATACATTTATTTCAGTGCTGTAAGTACCTGACGAAAACTGACAGTAGAACCCAGTTCCACAATAAGATTGTTCTCTCCTAATATCATGCGTGCTTTACCAGACTTCAAAATTTGTAATTTGCCAAGCATTCCTTCTTTTAAATCAGTTAGAGTGCAAAAACTTTTTGGAATTTCAGTGGCGTTCTCTTTAACAGGTTCAGTATTGTGTTTTACTTTTGGGCCACCAGGCTTTTCATCACCCCCACGTAGTCCTGGTAAACAGTCTGGTAACTGAAACATTTTTTTATGTAAACTAATCTTGCAATATAATACGAAAAAAGAATCATCAATAATTTGAAAAATTACCTGTAAGAGAATAAAATTACTTGACTTATTGTTCTTCTCTAAGACTTGTGTTATCGTGACTGTTTCTTTTGAGTCTTTTGCAATTTTTGGCAAAACCTTTGTCTGAACTTCATTTTTTTCTACAAATAAAACAGAAATACGTTACTGTCAATTTCATTTGGCACAGTTGACTGTTGCTCAAATTACCTTGACCATTGAGTAATGTAGCTGAATGTGTGTTTTCATCATTGGATTCAAATTCAGTTTTATGATTATTGAATGCTGCAATTTTGGCTATCAAATTTGAACCAATTAGTATTTCATTCTAATCATATTGATTAGATAAATAATATTGATATCATACCTTTGCTAACCATTGGCAAAGTAAGAGGTGCATTACTCTCATCCACATCCATTCCATCCACGTCAGTATCATCTATCAGGTGCTTTTTTGTCTTTTCTCCTGTCTCTATTCTGTCATATTTTTTGGATGCAGATAACCTTTGCCTTGAAAGTGATTCCCTTTCACTCCCGGAACTATCTTTTTCCCTGTAACTGCTGTAGCTGTTACTACCAGGTCTTCTACTGCTGGGTAAGTCGGCCAATCCTTCAGAAAATATTCCAGATGACTGAAAACAATGAATTAAGTTACAATAGACGTTATGTTATCATTGAGTGGATCTAAAAGACTGAAAACAAAAAAAAACAACTAAGCACTTACCTGCACTAGATTGTTAGCAGCTTTTCCTCTGCCTCTGCCTTTACCATCTTTGCTTTTAGCTTTTTCATTTTTTGCCTTATCCCGACCACGACCTTTTTCTTTTTTTGCTGTTGATTCCTTTTTAACAGCTGAATTCTGTTCTCTAAAACAATAAACAAATACTGTAAGGTGAATTCTTACTGTAACTTTCGACCTGTACACACAGAATTAGATACCAACTCTCTATTTTTCAGTCTTTGGGCATTAATATTTGGGGTAAAAACTCTTTTTGGTTTTTCAAATTTGACATTTCCACCTAGAGTCAAATCCCTTCTTGCAAACAACGATGGTAATCTATTGTTTGGTATGTTTGGTATTGGATTTCCAGGCTCAACTTTGATGTTAGTTAATAAATTCTGCATGGGAGAGTCGGGAGTTTTCGTTGACGTTGATGCTGATTCTGATTCTATACCTGGCTCAGATTTTATCTGTAAGTTAGGAATGTACTCTGGATACACCGTATGGTTGACGTTTGAATTTGAAGCCATCGTAATTTTATTTGTAAACTGAAAATGACTTATCAATTCGTTAATATGCTGTAAGATTGAATATTTTTCGACATCATTCAACAGTTTGAACTGTAAAAGTGAAGAAAAATTTATAAATAGTTAAACATGTATGTACATACCTATGCACTACAAATACAGGGATTTGGCTTGCCTTCTAAATGCTTCTTTACGGGACACAGCAGCTGACTCCAGGACATTGACGGTACGACAGCAGACATCCATGCAGTCTTGAATCGGCTGAACGCTGAATATTTTGAGCCGGTAAACCCACTCGATTATGAATTGTACTATTCGCTACGTGCACAATTTTGAAGCAGCGCCATCCTAGGGAAAAACGAGAACTATTGGTCTGGCACAGCAGAAGGCAATATTCGCGGTATGTGCTTGATACCTATAGGAGCCCAGTACCTCGATAGATACACGAAAGGTTCTGTGTTTATTATATCACGAATTAATACAATGTCTCAAGTGGTGCAATCCTATGTGAATAACTAAAGATAAAATTTGTACTACAAGCACTATTCGCTCCGAGCCGATGCAGAGGTTGCGCCCCCTCTAGCCAAAATCAGGCAACATTTCTTGCATGTAAACAAACGGTTTAGAACATATATACATTCGTACAGCTGCTTGTGATTGGCACTTGGCAAGCTAGAGAGAGAACGACGATCATCTCCTGCTGTCTTATTCAGCCAATCACAAGCAGCTATACGCATGTATATATGTTCTAAACCGTTTGTTTACATGCAAGAAATGTTGCCTGATTTTGGCTAGAGGGGGCGCAACCTCTGTATCGGCTCGGAGCGAATAAGCGCTTGAGTATGTCCGTGTGTACTGTGTGATACGAGATATGTTTAATTAGTTTGCAATGTAGTCAACACAGACCTCCTCTGACCAATCAGAGAGCTCCGTTAGCCTTATACCGGCGTGTTCACACAGTATGTAAGTACACACGTTCATACGATACGCTTAGAGGATCAGGCCCCAGCTAAAAACTCTAAGAAATACACAGTATCCAATGTATTTCACTGCGTTTTTTAATGAACATGCCTGAGTAAAATATGTACATACTACTCATAATTTTATTAAAAATTTAATCCTTAGAATGGTTGTCGATGTATAAACACATAACTTTCTGATGATAGTAATGCTTAACAGTCTGCTAGCAGAAGACAAACCTATCGCTTAAGTTTCACATATTAGCACAGGTATTGCTGCGATCGCTTTTTCAGCTTGTGCACGTAGCGAATACACAGGGCCCCAACACAGCCACTGTCACCAACAACTTAGACAATTAGTACAGGTTGACGCTAGCGCCGCCCGATCATGCGTAACTTAACTGCATTAATAATGCAGTGCATTTGCGGAATACAGCCTCTGATTTTATCATTCTGGTTCTGGTAAAGAGAGCACGGTGTAAAATAAACGTGAAGTTATGTGTATAGTAATTATAGTAATCAGTACTAAGTTATAGTGCCATATGGTCAATTTTATTAAACCATATTAGTAGAATATCTGTACTTTTTGAGATCGATTTTCGGGTACAAGATAAATTGTACACTTGCCGCACATAGCACAAACAATGTCAACTTTTTGTTTATATTCACACAATAAATTGCGGCTGGTTTATAATTGATTACATGGCTCTACTGTAAGTAGTAATAAAATTATATAGTAATAATTATTTGGATCAGCGCCATCTAGCGTTGCGGATTTCTGAACTAAAAAGTGGCCCTAAAACCTAAAATTCTGAATCGGAGCTTTAGCGCTTAGAGCCATTTAGTCAATTATAAACCAGCCGCAACTAGTATTAGAAATATAAAATGAAAAGTTAATGTAGTCTGTGCTATTTGCGGCAACTTTACAATCTATCTTTTACCTAAAAACCGACCTCCTATATATTTATACTTTTGGAAGTAGAGTTTCGGGTATATATATAGGTAGTGCATTATATGATTTGCAGTCAACAGCTGGTGAATTGGTGATAAGTCAGCATGAAAATACGCCTTAACCTTTGAATATATATAAATGCCTCTCTTTTGCAAGGTGGAGGCTCATTATCTGATTTGACAACCAACGCCACCATCATAGTCAGAGACGCCATCAACTGCCGCCAAGAACAGCCGCGAAAGCACAAGTGTGATAATCCGGATTATCCAGATATATGTATATGTATATATATAATCGAGACCTCCGCTGCTAGATCTACCACGAGCTCCCAGGTCGACCCGGCTCGCAGACAAAAAGCTAATTCGAAATGCGACGTACGTCCGAAGAACAGAAAAGCAAAAATGCCGATGTTCACGATGATAGTGACGAAGTGAGTGATTCAATGGAAGCCGACTCTGCTGACATGGACGAAGTTGAGTCTGGGGCTTCGGAAAACGGGGTAGAAACATCAAGTTCCTCTGCAAAGAAGCGCCATGCACGAGGACAAGCCAAGGTGGACGAAGAGGACTACGACGAGACGGGGAAAATGGAAAAACAGGAGAACGGAAAGTCACCGGCTAAGAGGAGGAAGAAGGATGACAGTGACGGTCTTGAGTCCGAGCCAAAAGCCGAAAAGTCAGTGAGCAAGAAGAAGAAGGAAAACGGTCAGAAAGCCAAGGGAAATAAAAAATTGCCGGTGGCCAAAGGTGGGAAAAAAGAAAAAGCTGGTAAAAAAAGGGCAGAGGTGCCAGAGGTAGATGAAGTTTCTAAGGAAGAAGAGTACGAAGTTGAGAAAGTCATAGCTGTACGTACAATCAAAGGTATGCGTCAATTTCTCGTGCGTTGGAAGGGATACACACAAGAGGATGATACATGGGAGCAGGAAAAAGAATTGAACTGTGAAGAACTCATTGAAGAATTTCTGGCTGAGCAAGGTAATGAGAAAACTGCTGATAAAGTGGCTAAGGGAAAAAATAAACAAGAGCCCAAGAAGAAGGGTAAAAAGAAGGCGCCTGTCAAAAAGAGCAGCGAAGGCAAGAGTGTTGCACCAGCAGTGGCTGAAGATGATAATGATGCTGATAGTTCCAAAGAGTATGAAGTTGGAAAAATAATTGACGTTCACTTTGGAAAGGATAAGAAGCGAGAATTTTTAATTCGTTGGCAAGGGTTTTCCTCCAAAGATGATACTTGGGAGCCTGAAGACCAATTAAATTGTCCAGAACTTATTGGTGAGTTTATGAAAAATTTAGAAAAGTTAAAAGATCTAGATACTCGAGAATTAAGAGCAAACCGAGTACATACAAAACGTTATACTTTGACCATGTATGGAGATAAAAGACAATCACGCCGTAATGTTAACAAAGAAAGAAAGACATATTACGAATGTGACTAATCCAGTACCATTGTACCATCTTGAAGATATAACTAATCATAAAGTTAAATATAAGTTTTATTTTCAAAGTTGCATATAAAAAAATAATTTAACAAAGTTTATCCAATTATATCAGATTATAAAATACTTGCTATGTGCTATATTATTTTTTTTTATTGATTTTTTTGCATTAGTTCAAAATCGTATTTCATCGATCCTGATGTGATTATTATTATAAATTTGGCATTGTTTCCTTAAATTATGTATAAAACTATTACAAAATTATAAAGAAAATTATTTATCACCATATAAAAAAGTAAGATAATAACAGCATTAATAAAACACTAAGTGTTATCAATAATTACGAATTATTGAAGTTCACTCTTACTTATGGTAATTATAGTATTTGAATGTCAAAAAATAGTACATTGTAAATAAGAAGAATGTTTAATAACTTAAGTGCATGTATAAATGTAACTCCAAAATTCTTATGCATCTCATGTATGTAATCCAAGCTTTACAATATAAATGTAGGTTATAACTTGTACATCAATAAATATTTTTAAAATTTCTGCCAAACAATTATTTTTTTTTATCTTTCCCAGAAGCAAGTCTGTATTTTTTATAAAATAGAATAAAAAATATGTTTCTTTAAAAAGTTCATATTGATTTTTACGCAATGATCATATTAGTTACGCAATACTTAAATGAAAATTATAAGTGCGCGTCCCAGCAAAAATATTCTTTTTTCTAAACTTTGTGTTGCTACGAGGCGTTTTTCGTCAACTCCCATACGGTGCGGCGTGCGAGCGCCAAAATGGTTATACTTATACCTACGTTTCAGCAAATTAATACTCTAACATTTGTGTATAAATAAATATATATATGTATTCCTACTCAATACCGTGACCTTAAAAATACTAATATAAAATCAAAAGCACCATTGTAAAAAAAGAAAATTTTTTTATACTGTCAATAGATCGGAAGAGCCAAGTTTTGTATTAATATAGTGAGGTTTTTTAAATTAGTAAGTACTAAATTCAAGTAACTCAAGGTCCTTGTTTTGGAAAAAAAAGTGACGACAATCTGCCATGTTGTCAGTGCAGTGTCAAATTGTTCAATCCACACAACAATCGTATCATCAGCATCGAGTCGGAACCCATGGCACTCACAGTGGAAGAAGTAAGTATGTCGTATCTATATCCAGCTGAATGATGGATACTGGCCTATCCAGGGTAAAAAATATCGAAGTTATATCTGCTTCTGTGCAAGGCATTATTAGAAAAACAATTGTAAAAAATTATCTCGTATGAATAAAAAAAAACTGCCATGTTTCTAACTTCCTGAGAAAATTTTTGGTAAAGAATCGTGTACCTCGTACTTCAATCTTTAGACGGATTGTCGAGTACATATTTTGGTCGAGAGTCGAGATATGGATCCTAATTTTTTTTTTCCAGAATATGGTTATTAGCCATGGAGTAAATAAATGTTACAAAAATTTGATCACGATCGTCTTTAGTTGGGCTCGGTAAATTCAAAAAACCGAAAAAACGCGTTCTCGTCATAGAAATAACATTCATACATTATTATTGGTTTTTGCCTGTAATTTCACTTACAGAAGCAAGTCTTGATTATTATTTTCACGTATTGTATTCCAAAAAATACAAGTAAATATTTTTTTAAATCCATCGATCATCACAAAAGCTGCAGAACTCGATTCTACATACATATCCATCCTGAATCTTATTTTGAAATATTTTATTGTTTGTTAACTATTTGCACCATGTTCTCATGTGTAAGTTGAATTAATGTCGGTAGCTACAATAAACATCACATACTTATTCTCAAACTGAAATGGTTGTTTTTTTTTTCATACATCGAAACCGGTCTGATCACATTAAACGGTCGCCAGCAAAAATGTTTCAATCTATTTGTATAAAATGTACTTATTTATATTATTTATAAAACATGTTGAATCTAAAATATAAGTGGTTTGTCTTTTATCAACTTTTAGTTATATTTTCGTACTTTGCTCCGTCGCCACAACAGAAATCTAGTTTAATCGATGCAAGTAAATTTATGAAAATCATAAACATAAAAAAAAAACCTTTTTTATACATACTTCTATACTCATTCTACGAATCTTTCAAGTGTGAGGAGTATCTGGAAAATTGATAATTCTTACAATCATATGTTAAATAAATACCCTCTTTGTATACGCTACACCTTTGTTTTCTACAAAAGTAAAAATAACTCGCTTGGACTAATTAAAATTTACTTTGCTTGCATCAAATTACGATGATACGATGAAATCGATTTGTTATGTTTGTACCTATCAATTATAATGATCTATTGACAATTGACGCATACCTTATAGCTGCTATATATAATTTACATGTATTCAGTCAAATTGAATATTAATTCGTACAACGACCACGAGAGTAGCAGCGCGACAAGCGGCTTGTGTGTATACCTACTCTGTATACCCAGAAATTCCGAAGCAAAGCAAAGTAGTGCGAATAATAAATAAGTATGACTGCTCCAAATGCTCCGATTTCGTTCATTGTGATGATAATGAAGTATTACAAAGAATAGTGTCTCGTGGTGCTTTTGTGCGTCGTCGTTGACGTTTTTCATCCACAAACATCTTTTTCGATTTTGTAGACGAAATATGTTTGAACTGGATTAGTTTCCCAAATGCCGTGACGGTGAGAGAAATTGTTGCTTATTCAACATTTGCAACGCTAAGCTTGGACTATTATCGGCTTGGATGATAATGCACTTGATGTACGAGCCCTGGATCGAGTTTTACACTGCTGTTACAACTACCTGAGGATCCAATATGTGATTCTTTTTTCTATCTGTTTTGTTTGTTGTTGATTTATTTATTTATTTTTTTTTTTTTTTTGGTTGCTCTCTATTGTGCGTTATTATTTTTGACGTTTGTGAGTATTTGCCGAGTAATTTTATAGTTGTGTAAAAATTGCTGAGGAAAACTTTGAACTTTTTATTGTAGTGGGTCTCTAGCTTTACAGAGAATTACACTCTGCAGTTTGTTTAAATGTCATTATCTATACTAAAATTTCACAAATGATTTGTTTATCACTTGTAGCTGTTGAAGAAAATTGAGCTTAAAGTCTTAAGTCTTTCTGGTATGCTAAAATTTTTCTGCCATGCACTCTTTTGTGTCAAGATATTTTTTATCTCATCAAGATTAAAATTTAATTGTGATAACTCTTACTGGTACTTAATAACGAATTTTCATGTTTGATCAAAGTGTTTGTTACTTATGTGCAAGTATTATATTAATAACAAAGAGTTAGACATTTAATTCAGTTAAAATTTTTTCTTCTGTTGCTTATTATTTTTACTCTGAAACTGGCCAATGAAATGTCTGTCTTGTTTTGTGTTAAAGGAATATTTCTCAGGCTTGAGGTGAAATTTCAAAATCATTGATTAGTTGCTGTGTTTTTTTTGACACGTGTGTGTATTCAATTATATAAACTCTGATTTTTGACCCGTGATATATTTCATACAGAAACAGACCAATGGAAAATCTTGTGTTGTCCAGTCATGATGTGATTAGTAGCATCAGCTCTTCTGCACCAGATAACATATCAATTACAACTAATGAAAATGACAATGACTCTCCTCAAGAGGGTTCTTCAGGAGGAGAAAATGATCATGGGATCTCTTTATTCAGCCTCAATGCCTCTCCGCAATCAAGCCAGCAGTTATTAAAAAAAGAAAATAAAGATAACTCACCTAAGGATGATAAAAATCAAAAAGATTGTTCACTTAAAAGTCATACTAATGGCACAAATTTTACACAAAGTCAGGTACATCAAGCCAATACATATACTTTAGCTTTTTAAAATGTGTTTGATAGAGCAAGAGTTTCAAACTAAACGAATTTTACAATTACTAAATTATTTCTAATTCAGGGTACATGTATCATCACTGCGAGAGCTATCAATGTAGTTATTACTTTCAATGAACTTGAAACAAATTTTCTAAAAATAAAAAGATTTCTTTAAATTGTCGACAATGCTTTTAAACTAAGAGTTATAAATTTAAAACGTATGAAAAATGAGTACATGCATGAATTTTGTTTAAGGAATCCACAAAATGTTTATCAAATACTGTAGAGCTTAGAAAGCATTCGAGCGATCACAAAAAAGACAGCAAAGGCCGTCATCGTAAGAAAAAATCTTGGTACTCTAATATTCTTTATCCAACGTACAAATCACGTTCTGATAACTTTAAGAAAATTTTCAAGGATGTACCTGATGATGAACGATTGGTTGTCGGTGCGTATATTCATTAAATTATAAAATAGAGGACAAGCTAAAAATTACGTAAAAATATGTTCAACAGATTATTCTTGCGCTTTGCAACGTGAAATACTGCTTCACGGTAGATTGTACATAACACAAAATTATTTGGGATTTTATGCCAACATTTTTACATGGGAGACTCTCGTTACGTTGCGCTGGAGGGACGTAACGTCCATTACCAAAGAAAAAACAGCTCTTGTCATACCAAATGCTATATCAATTCATACTGCCAATGAAAAATTTTTTTTCACGTCATTTGGTTCAAGGGACAAAACTTTCATGATGTTATTTAAAGTCTGGCAAAATGCACTAATGGGAAAGGTAAGGACATTTTTGGAAATATCAACTTATCATTACAATTTTACACAAAAATTAGTAAGCGTGAAAAGAAGCAATGTATGGAAAATTACGAAAATAATATTAAGGTATAAAATAATTGAAATTAAATATCAATTTTTCATTGTTTTTCTTCATATTTTTCTTTATTTGAATATTATTTCGTGATGTAATCGGGATAGTTGTTGATTAACGATTAAATTTTTCAAATTTGTTTTGTTTAACGATCGCTTAAAACAACTCTTGTTTCACAGACAGGAGGAAAAAATTTTTCTTTGAATCAACATGCCGTTAGAGGCTGTCGTGTCCTTGGTCCTCAAATTTTCATTTTCCTCTCTCTTTCTCTTCGTTTTCCCCGAACGGATATAGAATAGAGGGGGTGACAATAGCCGAGCGGGGGTCTCAACGGTATCGTAATTCCTCCCGAACTTCCGAATGTTGAATATTACACTTTAATGTCATTTTTATCTTCAATGCTAGACTAGTGAGATAAGAAAAGTTTGTCGCTGCCGGTTGCTGAAGAAATATTTTACTTTCAGCCAATGAGTGTCAGTGAAATGTGGCAACTTGTTCACGACAGTTATGGTAAGGAATTGGGCCTTACGTCGGATGACGAGGATTATGTTGCGTCACTGTCGACACTTACGACGGGCGAAAAATCGCCTGATAAACGTACATCCTTGGACTCGATTTTAGAAGTAAGCAAATACACTTTAAGACACAATAATAATTGTTGCGAGATTTTTGTTTTCTAAATTTATAAACTATATTTCAGGGGCATAAAGATGATGATGACGATACAACTCCTCTGAAAGAGATCGGGCGCATAGGTTTTGCATTAACAGAGTCAATATCCCCGGTACATTCGGTTATTGGTGTTTTACCTGAAGACTTGTCTGATTTGAGTGATTCAAGTGAAAGTGAAATCGACAAGGCATCGTCTACCAACAGTCAAAATGGTAATATTTTTTCTTATTAGTTCGAAAGCAAGCATACTTACTTGATGAAAAATTTATAAATATTCAAGTCATTTCTATTCATTTTACAGCGAGTACATCGGCGATTTGCACATCTCCACATGATGGACGAATGATGATAAAAGCCACTTTTCCAATTGATGTTAATCAATTGTTTACACTACTTTTTACAACTTCCAAGTTCTTCCTAGATTTTCATACTGCGCGAAAATCAACTGGTAAGTGTTGTTATTATTGAAACTTTTCAAACAAACGTGAAATTTATTAGCAAAATTGTATCATTGTCATGTGCTTGTTTTTCTAGATTTAGTCCAGTCAGACTGGACACAAGACATAACGACAGGTCAGAAGGTACGAAAAGTTTCTTTAACAGTTTTTCTCAATAAATCAGTTGGTCCCAAGAGTTCACAAGTTACCGAAACTCAAGTAAATACTTTTTTTCATCTGAACTAAAAATGACTTACTAAACAAAATTATTCAACCTTGAAATATGTACTTCCAGATAATGCTACCATGTAGTACACCAGGGCAAATTTATTGCATTGACGTGGAAACTGTAAACGCTGGAATCCCGTACGCTGACTCTTTTAGTGTAGCAACACATTATTGTATATCCAGGGTTTCAAAAAATGAATCATCGTTGGTAGTTTATAGCGACATAAAGTACAAAAAGAATGTTTGGGGCTTAGTTAAAAGTAATTATAAACTGTTTTGCCAATTTATGGTTTCATGGCAAAAAAACTAGTTTGCTAACGTTGCTTTTTTGATTTTGTAGCAATCATAGACAAGAGTTTTTGGACAGGTGTACAAGAGTATCTAAACAGCTTGGTGAAGGCTTTGAACATTGAGTGCGAAGAAAATTGTGAAATCTTTGTAAAAGGCCGAAAAAGAAAAAGCAGAAGACAGCGCATTTCTAGTGTTGGTTTATTACAGAATCACTCCCCAGATCATACAGCTTATAGTTATCAACCATCAATTTCAGAGTTGCCTGTCAATCCTAGGATTAATGGTAGGTTGAGCAATAAATTTTTTGTGGAAAAAAAAAACTCAAGATTAATTTCCGTTTCTTTTGAATTTTGCAGTTCCAGATCAACGTAAAGAAGAAAATTCTACTCTCAGCTGGATAATTCTCATTGCTGTTATATGTTTGATAATCATCAACTGTTTACTGTACTATAAATTATCAAACTTGGAAGAAGCCAACATGTATACAAAAATAGATTTACACGTTTTAAAGTGAGTTCGTGTTTTTTGTCAATCTCTTGAAATGTTTTTATTCATTTTCAAGTTAATCTATTGAATATACTAATTTTCCAGGACTACACCAAAAACCGAAGAAGATTGGATAAATTTACTTCAACAGCAAGAAAGCTTACATACTGTTGAAGTTAAGAAATGGCAAAGAGTTTTACACACAACAATACAATTACTTAAACAGGTAGGCAATTACTTGAGAACTTTCTTGGATGAATATTTAACTTTTTTTTTCACTCAAATAGACAGAAGAATCATTGACACAATTGCAAATGAGCATTCATCCTACGATGTCTGAAAAAGTTATCTCAGTATTAAAACCGGGTATAAAAATATCGCAGGGCGAACAGCGACGTGAACTTTGAACTAACGTTTGGTAATTTCAATGGTGTATAATAATACATGTATTGATGGAGTCTGTATCTCCTGTTACCTTTTGAAACGTTTTGTTCTATTTTTCAAACATCATGTAATTAGGTTTCTTTGTAAAAATATTCGATTTGTTCCCTCTACATATTCAATGATTCATCAAAGAGATCCAATCAAGTATACTTCTCGAATTTAAGAAATTCTAAATTTCTTTCTCATTAGTTTAAAATTTATGTACATACATTTAAAATCATCAATTTCCATTCGTTCATTCTTTACCATTACATCATCTTTCACTAATTTCACTTCTTGTTGATTTTTATACATTTTTTGAAATAAGGGGCTTAGATTTAATTTATATACCTTACTTCTATACGACATATCTCATGCAAAAACTTAAGAAATACCGAGGTGCCTGTAGTTTTTAAATTTGGCAGATTTTGTCAGTGTTCAACGGAAAGTAATATGTTCCAGAAGAAGTATCTTACGCTTATACTTAAATATTTTTAGATTGATTTGCAAATTTTTTAGTTTACGTTTTTATCTACCCACTTATATTAATTTTTCTCTGCTGTGAGTATTCATTAGAGCATTTGTTTCTTTGAATTTTCTTATTATTTTACTTTGCAAATTAATCAAAAAATACTTTGAAATGATACGTTTATGTATATTAAAAAGCTGTATCACTATTTATAAACTTGTATGAACATATTGTAGATCATAAATTAGCTTTTAAGATAGATTATTAGTTATTTTATACTATTTTTAAGTTATTGTTAGTAACTAGCAAAATTTTACTTCATCTTTATTTTAAATGCTTCAGTATAATACACTAATGAAGAAAATTGTAATTTAAAAAGTTTCACAATTGGTGAAATAAGTTTTATATAATGTATAAAATTATACATACAAATTTACCGTTAAAAAAAAAAAATGTATATTTGGCGTATGTGGCGATCTCGATTTGTAAACAATTAATTTTACATATGCATCATATTAATGAATTGATACTGGTTTAACCGACATATGATCTTTTTGAACTTTTATATAATAAAATATATTTTAATCGGATGTGGTGTTAAATTTTTTCTTTGTAGCATAAAACATTTTTTGACAGCATGGTAATCACAAGTTAACAACACATAGAAATATTTCGGAAACATGAAATCATTCAAAAAATCTATGATGACTATTAAACATCATAGAATGAGTAATGGAAAAAATCAAATGAAACAAAAAGTAAAAATTAATAATTGTATTTAACTTAAAATTTATTACATAATATAAATCAAATACAGTTCATACACTCTGTATTTATTTGTCTTCAGGCTTGTTGAAGACAAGTGTGTAACCACACTTGCCGCAATAATGCCTATCCTCCATTGCAGCCATGAATACACCCGCACCACACTGTTCGGAGGGGCACTCTCGCCTCAGGCGGTGAATTTTGCCATTCTCATCAACCTGTAACACAAACAACAACGTGTTTATGACAAGTTTCGAATCGCAATTTAAAACATTTGCCAATAAACAAATAAAAGTGTTCAAACCTTGTAGAATTTGAGGACAGCAAGCTTGACCTTCTTCTTCTTGTGTTTGATTTTCTTGGGAGTTGAGTAATTCTTCTTCTTGCGTTTCTTGGCTCCACCACGCAAACGAAGCACAAGATGAAGTGTGGATTCTTTCTGAATGTTGTAGTCAGACAAGGTCCTTCCATCCTCAAGCTGTTTACCAGCGAAGATCAATCTCTGCTGGTCAGGGGGGATTCCTATAATTACAATGCAAATTACATATTAATTGACACATGTGGTAATTCATTATAATGCAAATTTATTGTTCTATTAATTTTTACTATAGATAAAAAAAAATTACCTTCTTTGTCTTGAATTTTTGCCTTGACATTTTCAATAGTATCTGAGGCTTCAACCTCAAGGGTGATAGTTTTGCCTGTTAGGGTCTTAACAAAGATCTGCATGGTGAATGCCTATTCAAAAAGAAAATTTTATAATGCATTTGATCAGAATAGAATAATTCACCTGAAATTTTGTCCAGCATAAAGGAATGTATATTGTATAAGAAAGGAGTAGATGACAATCACTGAAAAGCCAACCAATATATTTTAAATAATGTTTTATTACGAAATCAATAAACTTCAATTACATACGTAGAGCCAAAATAAGTGGTATTTTCAAACTAACAATACAGCATTTATGCATCCATCATTTTCCGGATTATTTGTAACTTGCGCGTATTTACCCCAAACAACTTTACCACTTTGTGTTACTAAACCTAACTCTGAAATATTTATTTCAATAACTGTACCCTTGGTAATAACCCCTAACGATGTGTACATTGGTGAACTTGGATTTCTTTTGACTCCAATGATGGGCAGACAAAATGTGGCCTTTAGCTCTGGATGTGTAACGTGAGCCTTTTTGAATCTTAATGCCATTGGTCTGATGAATCTTTCGAATTTTGGTGGCTTTCTTGTGAAATTTTCTCCAACATATGTGACTTTGGTAACCATCCTTTTCCATGACTTCCGTTTAGTTTTTCCACTCTTGAGAACTCTAAAGACTTCAGCATCAGACTGAGCTTTGACTTTTGGTATTGGAACGTCCCATTTGCCAGCCTTCTCTTTTCTCTTCTGTTTTATCATGTTAGACAAAACCTTGGCTCTAGATTGAACATCTCTGTCTAGCAAGTATACAGGCAGTGCTCCTTCAGGAGTAGGCTCAGCTTTCTTTTTGATGTTTCTCTCTTCGTGTGCCTTGATTTTCTTCTTCATCTGAATCTTCTCATTTCTACGCTCTTTGTTGAATATCTTAGCTTTGATACCCCTAAGACTGCGAGCCTTCTCCGACAGTTTGTGAGGAGCTCTAGCTTCTCTCTTTCTTTTACGTTCCTCATAATCAAGACGCCGACCGTACAATTTTCGGTGTCGATCAATGTACTCGTTCTGTGGCATGTTGATTGATTTTTTTCAACAGCCAATACAACGAAGTGACTAAAACAAAAAAACGACAATTTTTCAAGTTTGAAAAAAGCATTCCTTAGAGATTTTATGAATCCAGTAATTGTACATTGTACACAAGAATTCACTTACCTTCTTCAGACTTTCAAAATCTTTTCAAAACACAATTCAAAGTTAGATTGATAAATATCATAATTCAACACTGAAAATCAAGAAATACCTGCTACATTGCAGTTTGGAGTTTTGGAGTTGTGTGATTAAATCTATCTCATTTCTGCTACAAGACTATATTGATCTTGCTGTACTTGTAAGTTTGACAATGAATAGATGGTAATCCCTTGATGGTGTTACCATTTATTCATAAATAGTCATCACCTGTTTAAGACAAGATATACAAACTGCGAGAATAATGTATAAATATGTTCTAAATTGGTTGAAAGCCCGAGAAAGTACTGTGTACAATGTATATTCACCCACTGTCGCAAGTATGTCAAATGAAAGAGCAAGACACGCGTGTATGCCAAGACTAGACCAAAACCCAACTCGGAAAACTCCAAAAAAACAATCGTTATAATTTACACCACTACGCAAACATTTTAAAAAACGTGAAAAAGAAACCAGCGGACACGATGTCGACAATATATAGGTTAGGGGTGGTGTGGAAAAACACACGCGACACCACGTTGCGCCGAACGTCGTCAAAGAATAACAAATTAATGGAATTGTTGCGGCACAATAGGGACGAACTTATAATTAAAAGCTGGACAAAATTTTCGGTGATTATTTCGATGATAATTTAAGGATAATGAAAATTGATTAACCTTTTAACGCACTTGAAATTATTTGCACGTACCTTTAGACACGCCACACGCAGCTGAAAAGGTTCTCTCTCACACCGCCAATGACTTGATTGGCCGTCATGAATCATGAAACGCGGAGCAAAAAATTTTTGAGATATCGATGCTATCGATTACTATCGAATAGGTATAAGGTTGGTAATGTAGGCTTCAACTGTAAACGAAGGAAGTGGCGCTAAAACTTTGAGTTCCAAATAAGTATTTAGTAATGAAAAAACATACTTTTATGCTGAGCACTCTGATTTTTATTTTACTTAAAAAATATCGCCACACAAGATTCTTTCCATGTACAATTTAAGTTAGTAGTTAATCTACAGGTATCTTATAATAATACAATATCCTATGACTTCAGTCTTGTGTTTGTGAAATAAAAATAAATGTGTAGACGAGTTTTTCTTTTACCATGCATTGGAATACAATCTAATACATCTTGCTGAACAAAAGTAACATTCGTACAATATCTCCAAACTTCTTACGTTAGAAAATTTAGTATTTTGTGCAATGCTGTTGTATTTTGCTAACTTGAAAGTTCTATAAAAGCAGCCAAAACAGGCCAAACCACATAGGCAATAATTTGCTTTATCCAAAAAGGGTACTAAATTAAACGGTATTACACTAGCATCGTAGTAAATCCTACAAATAATTACTCAAATTAGTACTCAAGGCTAATCAATTTGAACTAAATATTTTTTCTACTATTTTGATTACCTTTTCCTTTTAATGACTTGTGCAGCAATATCAAGTAAACTGGGTACTTTAATGTTGCAGTAAAAATCGTTGTCCACCTCACATTTCCAAGGATTATCAGAAATGTTTAAATCAGTCAGTCTCAAATTTCTCACACTCCCAGGCATGTATGTTAAATTATTTTTAGCTATATTCAAAAACTTCAGTTTAAGTAAATTTCCAATTCCTTGAGGCAGTACAGAAATTGAGTTATCATTGAGAAATAATGAAACTAAATTTTGCAACTTGTTGAGCTGATGAGGAACATATTTGAGCTAAAAAACGTTTTTTTGTTAATATTTACGTAATTAATGCATGTTTTTACAAAGCCTGGTAAAAGTGAATGCACCTGATTAGAACTCATATTCAGCAAGTGCAAGTTTTTAACTATTTTACTGCCATTCATCCATGACCATTTTGAGATGGGACTCTTTCCTAGCTGATTATTAGCGAGATGTAGTTCTTGAAGGTTGGGAAGCATACCCAACTCCTGAGGTAAACTCGTCAGCTGATTGTCAGACAAGTTTAAGAATTTTAAGCTTTGCAACTTCAGGATTTGTCGATCAAAAGACCTCCTTTCAAGGGCAGCAAGGTGAAGTTCTTCAGTTGTTCTTGGAAATCCCTCGAGTACAGGGTAATTGGCAGCACTTTTAATGACAATTTTTGTCTTGAGAAGGGTATTAATTTTTTTTGGTTCTAGATTTGATAAATTCATCACAGCTGGATTCATTTTTCCTGAAAGAGCAAGCTTTAGTACGTGAAGGAAGCTCTTTAATTGTAATGGATCACATCTTATGCTTATATCCTCGACTGGGGATTTGAATCTTATTGTTGCCATTCCCTCGTGAACAAATTTCGAGAAAATCGTTTCAATGTTGTTTACCTTTACAGAAAAAATTAAACCACTTGCTTTGACAAAGGAACCCTTGAAAATAATAGAAAACAAAAGTATGGGTGTACTTACCCTGTATTTTGTGCCATTTTTATTTTTATTTGACTGCTGGAGCAAAATATAAATGTTGTCATCTTTAACTGACTGCCGACCTATACTCAAGCAAGATTTTAGAAATTGTTTCCTTGTTGGTGGACTATAGGATGGCTCAACAACTGTACTGCACATTAATTTCATAGTTTTTGTTTTTATGATGTTGACAATCAGTATAAAAAATTTATATCATACGAAGTCTGATGTGCACGTTACAAACGAGTAGTTTAAACGTAGCATTTTGACATTTCAGGATGCGCGGGAACACTCTAAACTAAATAGTCTTTCTTAACTAATTCATGAATTATTCATGCCGTTGTAACGGTATGTTTGATAAAATATCTTTTCGTGGAAAGCCGCTTGAAATCATTTGATTCGTACAACAAAAGTAAACTTAGGAGTTTTAAATGCAATGACAGATATTTGTGAATTTACAAGCGCACATTGTTCAAGGTTACGCAGGAAAAAACTACACAAGGTAAACGCAGAGAATACAGAAACACGTCCCTTTTGTATATTTGTACTTTTGGAGATCGATTTTCGGATAAAAGATAAATTGTAAACTTGCCGCAAATGTCAACTTTTTATTTACTATCTGTAAAATTAGTTGCGGCTGGTTTATAACTGATTACATGGCTTTGCTATAAGTATAGTAATAATTATTTGAATCAGCGCCATCTAGCGGTATTTATTTTTTGGCCAAAAGTGGCTCCCAAAATTCTGAATCAGAGCAATCAGGAAAAGAGCTATTTAGTCAATTATAAACCAGCCGCAACTCAGAATGAAGCTATAAAGTCAGAAAATAACGATATATGTGTTTTTAGCGGCAAGTTAACAATTTATTTTTTACCAAAAAATTGACCTCCTATGTATTTTTATTTTTGAAGATAAATTTTTGAGTACAAAATAAATTTTTAACTTGCCGCCAAAAACACACGTATCGTTATTTTCTGACTTTATAGCTTCATTCTGAGTTGCGGCTGGTTTATAATTGACTAAATGGCTCTAATCCTGAATGCTCTGATTTAGAATTTTAGGAGCCACTTTTGGCCAAAAAATAAATACCGCTAGATGGCGCTGATCCAAAATAATTATTGCTGTTGCTACTTACAGTAAAGTCACTTTATTAGTTATAAACCAGCCGCAACAAATTTAATAGATAGATAATAAAAAGTTAACATTTTTTTTGTTATTTGCGGCAAGTTTACAATTTATCTTTTACCTTAAAATCGACCTCCAAAACCATCAATATTCTACTTATCTTATATGGCTCAAAAAATCGACAATATTTACAAAATTACAATACTCTTGACCTTTTACCATTAACTAATGAAAGAACAGCCCTTAAACTTTAGATTTTTTGTCTGACTTGAATCCAAGTATAATAAACATAATAGCTAATTTTATTACTAAGATCAGTATCAGAATATAAATTACTTGTAATTAGCTATAAAACAAATAATTGAATAACTTACAAATCCAACTTAATTATGTTATAAATTAAGCTTTAATTTTCTCCATGAAAGTGTAACAATGTGCTTACTTACATATTTATTTGCTTAGTGAAATTTAAAAAAAAAAAAAAAAAAAAAAAAAAAAAAAAAATTTATTATTTACGATTATTTTTATTTTCTACTTATTACAAATTACATCTAAGTGCCAGCGAACAACTTTGTATAAAACCGTACTACTTAAGAATAGATGTAAAAATCTCTGTAATTTACTCTGGCTGTATATGTATATTTCATGCCAATAAAGATACTATCTATCTATCTATCTACAAAGTCAATAAACTAACTTAAACTATTATGGGCAGTGAAATATTTCAATAATATCATCCGATTTTCTCCTTACACCTAAGAATCGGATCAAGTACTTAATCGTGACAAGTCAGAATGAACGCAACCGTCAAAACGTTTAGATGCCTATCGGTTTTCATCGGCAATACTGTGCGAAATACTCTGCCAACAAGTACGCGAGGTTATGCAATACAGAGAAAAATCCCGGTTACATGGATAAGGCCGACACGTCCAACGTGTTACAGCAAAGAGAAAAGTGGTGATGGTGGACTTGATTTTGATGTCAAGCCTGAGGATTGCATCTCCCATCTCAAGGAGGCAAAGGAACTCGAAGAGTGAGTTGAAACTCGTACCCTTGGGCTGTCTTTTTCTCTTTGTATTTGTGCTGTTCTGAAGTGTAGATTCAAATGAGAATTTGGGAGGTTGTCGAAATGTGCCTATGTCTTTTTTTTTTGGTTGCTTGTTGTTCAAGTGTCCTAATTATTTGACAAATTTGCTTGACTCTTGAAACACAAGTAATTCTTTAATGTAACTGTTACTCATAGTGTTTGTTTTGAAAACGTTTTACTGGCCAATATTTTTTAGTGCTGATGACATTGTCAAAAAATTGGTATCAGTTGAATTCAATGGTGGAAAGTCTCTCCAAAGACGCAAAATTGAGAAAGCTATGAACATGGTTTATAGACACAATCAGGATCGTGGTTCCACGGAAGTCAGATGTAAGCCTGTACTGCTTGGATACTGAAAAAAAATGATTTATTTTTGTTAAGAGGAAATTTTTGAATTGATGAATAATACTTATTAATCAATTGAATTATTTCAGTTGCCCGCATGACAGCACGGATATTACGTTTGCAAAATTACTTGGAAACAGAACCACATGATAAAAAAGCAAAGAATGCTTGCAAAGAATTGATTGAAAAAAGACAAAAATTATTGAAAAAGCTGCGTGAACGAGACTATCCGTGCTTTGAGTACATTCTAGAGCGTTTAAACCTTACTTTTCGTCCTGGTATACGTCCTGAGTAAGTACTAGAACAAAATTATCGCTGGTAACCACGTGTCTCATTGATTTGTTATATTTTTATATTTATCTTGCATTTTTCAGACACCGCTATAGAGCGGAGAGAAAATCAAGCACAAAGAAGATATTGCAAAATTATTGCGATGAATTGGTGAAGAAAAAACTAGACACCTACAGAAAAAGCCTGGAAGCCCAACAAAAAGACTTTTTCAAAGATAAAGCCGAGAAGCTTGAGTTTATAAGAAACGAAGAAATAGCTTGTGGAGTTGAGCCTTCTGTTACCGAAGAAGAGATCGAAGCTGCCAAACAAAAGGCAGCGACATTTGCATGAAAAAAAATATTAAATAAATAAAGTGTACATATCGTTCATTATATTATACCGGTCGCAAGAAGGACAAGAAGTCAAATCTTGTTTTTATTTAACTTTTTCCGTCTCGAACAATCGAAAGCGTTTATCGACGTCAATAAAAATAGTTATCTTAAAACAGAGAAAAACTGGTTTTTCATTACGCTCTTACGGTGTTCCTGTTTAGCAAGTGATTGCTGTTACTTTTTTTTCCTGCTTTCGACGTACCGCCGATACAAGAAACTGTCGCTTCAGATTAAAGCAAAGTAAACACGTCAATCAGCGCCGCTTTTCTTTTTTTAATATTTACGAGAGGAAATCGAGTACTTGTCTCGAGAAATTACAAGCCATTAAAAAAACATGTATCCTCTTATATGGCCGCTCAAATTAGACGAAAGTCAAGATGGACGTGTACAAAATGGTTTAATAATTTACGGGCAATCTTTTTTTTTTTCTTTTCTTAACAATTCCAAGGAGCCATTTCATGTTTATCTGTGCGACGTCGCTCAAATGTAAGGTCCTTCCCAAGAAACGACCGTCAGTGAGATCAGCTTTCGGGCCATAAAAACGCGCGAGTGAACGTCCGCGGCAGCGCGGCACAAGAGAGCATATACAAGAAAACTCCGTGACGCGTGAGTGCCGCATATAATATATATCGAGCTCGACTCTCGCGCCGAACATCATTCTCTTGCGTCGCGTTCGCATGTTTTGAAGTGAAATCGTGCGAGAAGTCGTGTGAAGTGATTATTTTCGGTTGCCGATTTCTGGATATTGTACTGACTGTGTACGAGATGCTTGTGAAGGTGATAGAGTTGAAGTGATTCACTAATTGCGCCTACATTGTTGAAAGGATCGAGGGAGAAGTAACGCGTTTTTGAACTGCAAATTTTTTAAAATAAATAGATGGATTTCGTGTAAAACTAGCGTGACAAAGAAATAAATCGGTAATTTATTTAAAGTGTCACGTTTCTCGTACGTGAAATTGTTGTAAAACCTTCTAGGTGTACAAAACGGCTCTTTTACGTACTCTTTCCGCGGAAAAATAAATCGGTAACGTAAAGGTACGCCAAAAAAATTACGGAACTCCTTGTTTGTATACTGTAGCGCCCAGTGCAATTCGCTCTCGGTTAAAGTTTTATTCGAAACGCGGCTACCCCGGAATTCTCATATAGTTACTTGCGCGTACGATTTCGTAAATAACCGATCGATTTGTAACTCAAAATCGGTACATAAAAATAAAAGAAACTTCTCTCACGGCCTTGGATCATTTAAAAACTTCAATTGCTTGTAACATAAATTAGTGTAAATTACAGTGGTTATGCTTTTAGCTGTTACTCGCTTTCCTCTCCATCTTCATCGGTACGATCCAAGCCGCACCTCAGTAAGCACCACGAGATCGCAGACTAAAGAAAATCTCACAAATGTTAATCCTACGAAAATTACATCTCAAAATACAGATACAGGGTAAAATCGGCAAAACTCCACGACCAATGCAGATTGCGATCTCTCTATCGGAGTTCCCTCGTGATTTGTGTGCCGGACTTTGCCACAGCGTCACGAGCCAATAACGATCCGTTTCGCCGGCAACTGCGGCCTCCCGCCCATCGGGTGAAACCGATCTACGAAGATATCCCGCGAGAGACAACCAGCAGCACCAAGAAACCTCCACCGACGTACCCACTGCAGCCCAGCTCTTACACGGCGGCACGCCAGGAGATACCAAATCGAGATGCCGAGTACACGGTATATTATACCATATCTAATTATCAGCCGGCTACGATGTGCGTGACGATTTTTTTTTATTATAAGTATTATGTCGTCGTGCTCACTATAATATAGTCTTCCTTCAGATCGGTACGACAGATCGCGCGACCCACGTAAAGTAGGAACGGTTCTGTTGATTTTTTTGCAATTTTTTACTCCAATTGTTTTTAAAAAACGTTAACGTAATGTTGAAAAGTCACTCCATACTCCATAGGGCCTACATGCAAAAACGAGTTGTTTTATCAATGTTGGGCGTTGTGGGTAGTAGGTGATATGAAAGACCAGCTCCCAGTGACCACCATGACAAATTGCAGATATATCCAAAATACTCGTACAACTACGGGGTGCTGGACGGTAGCACTGGCGACACAAAGACAGCCTGGGAGGAACGGGACGGTGACAGCGTCCGGGGTGAGTACAGCGTAGTCGAGCCCGATGGTACCGTGCGCACCGTGAGCTACACAGCCGACGACGAGAGCGGTTTCAAGGCCGTGATCACAAAAAAAAAGTCGTCCCTTGACTCGGAGGTGATTTCCAGGATGGCAGCTAAATCGGCTCTTGTGCCGATTTTACTGGCCAGATCAGCTGGGAGCCACGGTGAACTGAGGTATCCGCAGCATCGTTATGATTAGTGCAGAGTACATGATACTTGCAATATACGTTGACTTTGAAAGATAGACTGTGGACGGTGTAAGTTTTTTTAGGAAAAAATAAATATATGTTTATGATATAGGTACCTGCACACGATAAGGTGAGTACATAATGCGAGATTGATGTCAAAGTTTGATAAGTTTTTAAGCAGAATGTAAGTTGGATTTGCGAATTGTTTTTATTAATTGTATTGTAAGTATAAGTGTGTGCTTGAAAATTACTACTGCCATTTAAACCTATTATTTTTTTATTCGTAACATTTTTTTTTACATCCATAGTGACCTTACAACATAATATTAACTTTTTTCGTGTTTTATGAACTAAGTATTATGTACAATTACTTTAAGATCTCACAACCGTGTAATTTAGTTTTTGACCTCGTCGCTGAAAGCTAGAGCCGACACAACTTTTTGATGTCCAATGTATTCTCTTTTGACTTCAGCGGACTCTATGTCCCATAATCTCACGATACTGTCGGTCGATGCTGTGAAAATGTACTGAGAGTCAGCGCTGAAGGCCGCATCCCAGACCCACCTCTTCTGGTTGTGACAGAGCGTCTTGTACTCTGAAAAGTCGGATGTCTTCCAAATCTTGGCAGTCTCGTCAGAGGCCGTTGTAACCAGATACTGCAAATTACTACTAAACTTGCACCTGAGGGCGTATCTTTTGTGTGCTTTTAGTTTTTGACGAGGATTCAATTTAGTTGGCTCGTCCCCAATGCTATTGAGAGCCCAGATGAAACAGTGACCCTTGTTGTTGACAGCAGCCATGTACGTGCCATAACAATTCACAGTTACGTCTTGAATCGAAGCCTCTGCTTCTGGTATTAGTTGCTCATTGTGATCTGATCTGAGATCCCAAAGATGGATGACTCCACTCTGATCTCCAACAATCAGTTCTGCTTGATTAGGATGTAGGTAAACACAGTTGACTGGTGCAGAGACTTGAAAGATCCTCTGGCACTGAAAAGTACTTGACCTCAAGTCCCAAATCCTGGCAGAACAGTCTTCCCCACCAGTAAACATCCACTTTCCTTCTTCCTGAAAGCCAACTCCGCTGACGTTCTTTGAAATGCCTTCATAATTTATCACAGGATTGGGATTGCTAGAGTTTAAATCGTACATTCGAATGTGCTGATATCCTGCCGCTGCGACCACATGTTTGTTGGGTGTGATGGCTAGGGCATTGACTTGAGAATCGGCATGTTGCATGCTGCGAAGGCATATACCTGTGTGGGCTTGCCATACTTTGACAGTGTGATCGTATCCTCCAGTTACAAGAACCACTTGATCATTGGTTGAGTTGTCATGCATTTTTCAATGTCAATTGTTACTACGGTAATAAAATATCGTTCATGTGAACATAACTAACAAATCAGCGTAACCTCCTCAAAGAAAAAACACACTTTAAATTCACAATATTCACAACTAGGTACTTACTTATAACATTAATGTTGTTTTTTTTTGTTTTGCGAAAATACGCTCGTTTCAGATATTCAGACAGAGCGCGAGCGGTATACATAGTAAACTTTGAGAGAGTGAACCATGTCCGCCATTTCAAATTCTCGATGTGAGTCTTAAATGGCGGCCGACCAATCACGAGCAGGCTCAAGACTGACTGTTCACTAGCAAAAACGAAAAAACGTAACTTTTTAGTGTGTGAATGGAAACGCTAGATGGCGCTGATTCCGAGCTCAAAATGTATATTATATTCTTGTTTTTTTGTGACTGTTATCAATTTGGTGATTTTTTCGATTGCATATTAATAATTTTTATTTCCATATATTTAGTTTAACAGTCAACTATTGTAAGAAAATTATATTTCCAATAAATATGTGTTGTAGTTGTTATGGGAGGTAACAAAAAAAAAAAAAAAGAAAAAAGTATAAAAAAAAGGAAATAAACATTTTTCTTATATTTTCGGTACAAATTCAGTGTTAATTTTTGACTAATATGTAGACATATGCGTTAACATTTTAACGAATTAAAAATAAAATTGCTTTCGTAAGCGGATAAACTGTTAGGCAATATTCATAAAATTATATGACTAACATCTTATGCATGATGATTGAACTTTAAATTTTAAAAAGGCTTTTAATTTTTTTAATAGGGATGTTGAACAAATATAAGGGTTTTTGTAATGTTTCTTAAAAATTCTTTATAACTTAAAATCTTACATTTCAATTACACATGTTTTTATGTGATCCATTTCTTTAAAAATGAAACTTGATCTATTAAATTTATAATTACAATCTAGTTTCATTTCAACGATGATTTCCATTCTTGCCCCTTTATCATTTGAAATTCATACTTACCTACTATTAAACTAAAACACGTTTCATTTCATTATTTATAATTTACAAATATTAACATGGAATGAAAGAAATTAGGTGGCTTACATTCATTAAATTACGCAGTAAAATTTTTAACAGAAAACTACTTATGATTTGAATTAAAATACGCGTGAAGTCTTAATAAAATTGTATAAATATGTTGTATAATATAATAATTGTATGTATAATAATTTATCGACTGTAGAACAATATTAATTACAGCATTTATCATTTGATGTATGGTAATGTAAAGTGTGTGAAAATAATGTTCAAAAAAGAAACCATAAAAATACAACTAATTTCATCTATCTAACAATTGAAACTATTAAGAAATTATTACAATGACTCGCTATTTTTTCTCTTATGGAGAATGAAAAATACTGAAAATATCAGGATCGATCTTGATATTCACAAAATCAGACATTTTCTATCTAGTCATCTACTATAGTTCATTGGTTACATTTTTCATTCAAGTTTTTGCGAGGGTTATAACTTAAATTTTTAATAACTACTAGCATTCGATTCGGCTTTTACATATCGATATCAAAAATTAATCATCGTTTTTCAAATTGCAAAATAATGTCAATAAAAAAGAAAAAATTTGAATTTAATTCCGTATTGCAACAAATGAATGTTTACTTTTTTGATTGGGCACGAGTATGAATCGAAAAATTGAATTCAACTAACAATAACAGACTCATCTTTTGAAACTTAACTTTCACTTGGACCCTCTAGACATTTATTTTTCGTAGAAACGATTGCTATTTGTATGATTGCAAATGAGATGGCTGATGACCTACTGGAAAAATTTTCATGATAAAAAAAGGAGGACCATAGAGTCTCAGGCAAATTTACAAGCCCTATCTGTTCCTCGACCTCTTGTTACTGCTTTTCTTAGCACTATTTGATGGTCGGCTTTTGTTAACGTCTTTACTACTTGAGTGTTCAGTTTTCACTGTCGTCGACACGTGATCTAGATTGCCGTTTGATATCGGACCGTTTGACTGCACAGGAAACGCGGCGTTACTATCAGTACTGGTTATTGAACCATTATTCTGGGCATACCCCGTAGATGTGCCAGACGTGTGGTTTTTACCACTGACTTCTTTGTTATTGCCCAAAGATAAGCTATTTGAACTACCAAAGTTGCAGTTGTCCTCGCTGCCACTGTTTCCAATTTGGGATTCTGATTCGCTGTATCGTTCCACTAGAATCAGGTTTACCGATTGTTAAGAGTCCAAATGTGTGTGTGAACGTGCACAATCACTCAGAGAGCAAAGGATTAAGCCAGTAAGATCATACAAAAATATTTTCTAAGGACGTGCAAGTAATATTACTGATGCACAAGACTACTTTTGGAATAAATAATTTTCCAACTATTAGAAAAATACACTGTAATAAAACGAAGATCTCAAGTAAAAAAGAGAAGATACCCTTAAGAGGAAAGCAAGACGTCAAACTACTATTAATAGTTACCATAAATTGAATATGCATTCAACCAAATGCTACCAAAAGAGCTATCATAATAGACTACCACCACTCAAGTATAAATATAGTTTACAGATAGTGAATAGACATTGCTTAAAAATAAAAGTACAGGATAAATTAAGGCACCAGCATTTGATATATTTAAAAACAAACTTAATAGTAAATTAAATTCTATACAAACATTTATTTACATGTTGCACAATAAATAATAAAGCTTATATGTGTATATAAAATAAAAACAAACAAAAAATCAAACGTGTTTCTAGATTTTTTTCTCTACCTATGACACTTGTGCATTAATATTACATCCCAGATAAACAAATTGAAATACATAAAAATGCAGGTGCAAAATAAATCAGTACTAGGTTAAAAAGAATACAAAAGAGTAAATCAAAATGAAAAGTAAATTGGTTTACAACTACAATAGCAGTGAATGTTGAAAGTTACGAATATCCATTAAAATCCTTACTTTTTTCCTGTGCATTTTCAACCAATCCACTAACGGCCTGAAAATACACACAAATAAATCAGTTGACAAAAAATTATGTCGTACACCACCTCTGATTGCACGTAAAAATGTAAATTTGACATACAGCACTAGACGTAATTGATGATTTGGAAAACAATCTTTCAGCCTCTTTGAATTTTCTGTTTCGCTTGTCCGCTTTGCTGTTTGTGTTTTTGTTGCTCGCCAAATATCTATCCCATCCTCGTATGATGTTGCCGTAGAGCTGTGTGTCTTCCAGATAGCTTCCTTCAAAGGCGTAAATTTGCCTCTCAAGATTTGCCAGCGTTTCCTTAAAAAAAACAACAACAACAACGTACAACTTTGCACAAAACACGCAGAGCAGTAGTATACGTCCCAGAGGTTACACGTGAACATAACCTCAAAATCCGTGTTTTGGTTTTGCAATTTCATTTACGTTAACGAAATTGTCACGCTAAACCTGCGCAACAGACGTTAATAAACAAACACACGAGTGTCGTGATTTTTCGTGTGGCATCGCTCGCAACGGTGAAATGTCGGCTAATCGAGTAATGTTTACGTTTTCCCATTTAAAAATCACTTACGGCAATGTCAGCTTTCTTTTTGACGAGCTCGGCGAGCTCTGCCCTCAGGTCCACCGATGTTTTCGTCGTCATGGCTCGAATGACGATTGCTCAACGGCTGTTGACACTCGAGAAGGAGTCTCGTGGTGATTGTTTAAACGTGTAAATAAACATGAAACTTTCGTGAAACGCGCTCGCAGTGCATCATCATCATCTCGACTCTTTCAGCCATTGCTCGCTGGCGTCCATTTGTGTTTTTCTCTCGCTCGGCTTGTATTGTATGTGCGTGTACGTACACAATGCATATACATACATACGTAGTTAATATACGTACACCTTTTGCGGTTACTTCCGGTTTTTACATCTCCGCGAGACATTTAAACGCAGCAGAGCAGCTGATCAACAAAAGGATTGTTTGCATGCGGGTGCAGGGTGAGCGGACGATACATCGTTGAACGTGTTTTTGGAAAACTTTATTTTATACATAAATAGCTTTTGCAAGAACAACGAACGTTTTGCGCATGAACGGCAATATTTTTGAAAAATCATATGAGGTAAGTCAAAACATGATTGGTAATTTATTTAATTTCATATACAGACTTTCAACTGTGTGTTTAAAATGCGTTGTAAAAGTTAGTCATACCTGAGTATTAAAAAGTTTGAAGATTCACAAATACTTCATCGTTGTACTTTAAGGGTTTATTGATATCTACTCTGCATCCACAAATTTAATATAATTTTATTTTATGGTAAAAGTATCCCTATAATCAATAAATACGTATTTTAATCTGAATAAAATTACTTAATCTAACTTAAATACAAAAAGGACGTTGACAAAAAAATTTAACACAACTCACAATGCCAAATAAGTATTTGACCACTAATTGTAGTCATTTGTGTTTATAATGTTAACCAGAGTCTTAATAATGTTGTATTTTTGTACCTTCTTATATGAAAGTGATATGCTGGTTATGAGCATGGAAAAGGCAAGTTATTTAAAATACCCCAGTGACAAGAATAAGTTATGGCACATGATAGATGTGTACATTGGAAGACAAAATCTTTTTTGTTTTCTAGCTTTAGAAGGTAAGTGCAGGCTCTTGGTACAAAACATATTAAAACAAGAACCAAAGTAAGTCCTTAAATGTCGCATATATACAGGAATAAAATACCGTAATAAATAAAGAAGAAAACACAGGCATTGACAAATATAAAAAATGCTCTTAGACAGGCCCTTTTACGAGGGATCTTGTAATGGCTCGAAAAAGTTGAGAATTTCCAAAATTTGGGCTCCATTATCCAATCTCAAAGCTCATCTCGGAAACGGTCGATGTCTTGCAAGTGATCGCCAAAATCAGTAGCTTCACTCCCCACAAAGACATCATGGTGTTCCAAAATCTCGTCAAAGGATAATCTGTCGTCATGGTCGTCGTCCGATGCACCAAACAAGTGATTGACCTCATCGATGGCAATATCCCTGAAATTGTAGTTGATGGATTGATTGGAAAAAATATAAATATTTTATTACCAGTCTGGTATAATATATAAAATACAGCTCTACGAAAGTAAACGTATCAAAAATTAAAGTATAAAATTGAAACTCACTCGCTACTGGGGATGAGCCAGGTCTTCATTTCGGCAATGTCCAGTTTACCATCAGCATTCTTATCGTAATCCCCATCGAACTTTTCTTTTTCAGAAATTAGCCACTCTTTGCCTTCTCCTTCCGCCTTATCCTGCAGATATTCTTGGAAATCAATGAATGAATCATTGTTCGTGTCGTATACTCTGAGTGCCTGATTAACAAGTACATCTATCATTCTTGGTGTTTCTTCTGGATGAGTGTAAGCTTTGAATTCCTGCTCATCTAAATACCCATCGTTGTCAAGATCGGCAACGGTAAATGTTTCCTTGTCATTTAAGTACGTCTCATCTTCTATTGGGAGCTCCTCCAAATCTGAAGAATAGGAGTCCTGTAAAATCTCCTCCCAAGTTATTTTACCGTCTCTGTTTTCATCTGCATCTTCCAGTCTCTCTTTTGACTCTTCTTCAGACAGCATACTGAAATTTGTGTGAAAACAATGACGTGTAATACACAAAAGACAAGTAAAAATGTAAAATATTTGTTATCATCGTACTTTGTACTCACTTGAAAGAACGCAAAATCCACGCTTTAAGCTCATGCCTGTCTACGAACTCATCGTTATTCAAGTCCATTTTGGTCAAGAGCAGGCCCAACCTTCTCTTGGACTCTTCGACGGGAAGCTTATCATATTCCTCAGCGTCCTTGACGCTGCCTGTAATTTTCAAAAATTGTTACTCTGGTAGTCAACGCCCATGCCTACAAAAACCCAATGTAAACTACTCTTTGGTAAAATGCATCACAGCAACGTTAACAAGTACCATTTCACCAGCACCAACAACTCCAAAAATTTAAAATAGAAAAAATTCATACAGAAAGGATGCAAGATCTAAAATGTCCAGTCACAGATTCAACGCACTTGCAAACTCGTTGAATCTGTGGCATTTAATCATCCCAGAAAAAAATCATGTGATCTTTCAGCATTGATAAAATACTTGAAAATTGATTGACCACAAACATCCACCGTTGTGAAATTCATGAAAAATTTTAATCAAATACACGTTAAATCCGTAAAATCATGGAACTCACCGAGGATGGCTTCATGATCGAACTCGGAGTGATGCTCTTGGCCGTCGCCGTAGTGTTTGCTGACCCCAGGCCCGAAGGCTCCGTCCTCGATGCGTTCCTTACTACCGGCAGCCTTGTGCTGGTGGATGTGTGCGGACGCGGCCTGGGAACTGTGCGCCGTGACGCACAACAATAGCAACAGAAACGCGAACATTCTGATGAAGTTCTGTCGCACCCCCGGCACTCGTGGACCTCGGGCTTCTTCCCTCGGGGTTTTTTTTTATTTGCCCTTCTCCTTGCGTGGGCCGATGGTGACGCGGGGAGAGAAGGGCTCTCGAGAGAGCGGCCGAACTGCCGCACGGACGTGTTAAAAACCAGACACGAGCGTCATCGTCAGCTGTTTTTTTGGAGAGAGTTTGCGCCGGTTTCACTACTTACAGATAATATATATATGTATACGTGACTGCCCTCGAGTATATTATCATTATGTCGCAGGTCGCAGATTTAAATTTAGTCTCGAGCGGTTCAAGCTGTAGTAGAATTTTGTTAAATTGCAAAAGTTATCATCGAAAAGTCAATTGAAAAAAAAAAAAAAAAAAAAAACAGATTTCGTGTTCGCGTATTTTTATTTATTTATTCATTTGGTCATTTTGTACCATTACTTCATTTTTGTTTATACTTTTGGTTTTATTATTTATCAATAAATAAATTTGCCTACCTCGGGAAGGTTTTCGTGGACGTTCGTTGCACCGTCGGTAGGAAAAGCAGGATTCGCCTCGTAAGTGCCATGCAACACTTGCTCCAGGCGTGTATAGTCCCCGTGACGACGAAAGCTATTTCCGTAGAACAATTAAAAAACGATTTGTAGCAATTTCCAGTAGCAACAACTTGAAACCGACCCGATCGTTATTGATCTAACTGTACAACTGGCAACAAAAACTTGCCCAATTCATTTGATTAGTCGTATCCACGCATCGTTAATATATTTTTAGCTATGAAAATCTCAAAAATACACGTACCCTCTTTGAATTAATTGTCTTTTTTTTCATAGTCTTCAACAAGTTTTGTAATAAGGGGTATTTTTTTATCTTAAATATATAAAGGTTTACACATATTACCACTGGTAGTGCTTTCGAGAACCGGCTTGAGATGAGAGACAGAACGAAATGGTCCAAAATATCTTGTAGCACCGCGACAGAAACGGCTTATTTATGCACGTGCACGTTTCAAAATATAAATTTTATTTTGCATCAGAAAGAAATCTTACATTGAATTGATGAAAAGAACTCCATTCGTCGTTGTAAAATTTAACGAGGAAATTGTTGTTTTTATTTCACATTAAATATTTATTTATGTTTAGTTACAATTATGCAAACAAATTTTTTTAATTTCTAAATATTGCTAAGTACAATTTATTTAACAATCGTAATATTCTGATATTAAAAATTATATCAGCTGAATTTTCAAAGTATGATATAAATAAATTTCTTCAAAATCCAAACATTACTCATATTTTTTTTTGTCATTTTTATAGGAGAATATTGAAAGCTGGTTCTTAGTAAGAACGTATAAATTAAAAAAATTTTCTACTATTTTTAATATGATTGATTAGTATTATAAATCCAACAATGTTAATTCACTTTCTTAACCAGAAAATTTTACGTTTGACTTTTTTACTACAAAGATTTTTGCCTCTCCAGTATTATTCGCTGAAAAAATATTGTATCAAAGAGTTAATTTTGTAAACTATCACTGGAAAACGTATGTTTATAAAATTTTATTATTAATTGAACAATTTTTATCTCAACGTTTTTTTTTACTTCAACATTTAGAAAATCTTACGTAATTAGTATCGTTTTTTTCTGAATATTCCAGCTTATAATTCAGTAGCTCTTAATAGAGAAAAAAATACAATCAAATCTATAATAGTTGTATCACGAGCGTATTTAAGTACAAATCTCTATCCATAATACACACACATGAAAAAAAAATACTCTAGAATTTGAAGTTATATAAATAGAACCACACCTTTGCCCACTTATATAAATAAAATTAAAACAGAAGTGAAATAATAGAGGCAGAACAGAGGCACGCTGAAAAACAATTCTTGGTAAATAATCATGATAAAAATCAATCTCCACCCCCGCGCGATCGGTGCCAACGGCTATACAGCGCAAAGCTCATCGGAGCGAACTTTTAGCTCCACATGTATATTTATATTATACATGGTAATGTACACAAGCACTTCCAAGCATATATTATTCCCCCAACTGCCGGACGTAACTTTTTTTTCTTCCTCCTTTTCTTATAGGTACGTATAAATATATATATGAGTAGTGTGCATCAGACATCGTCGTTACGAATGTATCAAGAGTACGAAAATCCCCGCTTAACGCTGTACTCATTGAAGAAGAGGGCGTTGAACAAAAAAAAATGTCAAAATGAAAAGGACTTACAGCTCTGACGTATAATTTTCAATGGTAGCTCTTCCCATCGCACTTCCAATGCGTCCATACTCACCCTTTATCACATCTCTTTCTTGACGTTTTTTAACATGATTTTACATGATCCAATGTTGAAATTATTTATAAAAATCGTCTCATTGCGTTATACGTATACTCTTATCGGCCAGTAAAATTTTTTACCGTACCTATATATGTGTATGTATACGCAGGCTCGACGCTCCATAAAGAAGGAATGCTTATGAAATCAGCGCGTTACGTTGTCAAGTCAGTGGAGCGTGCTTTATATATACCTTCGTAAACGTGTATATTATATTATATACGTATACGCAATTACGTGAGACGTTTGAAGTCAGAGCACAGGATGTCCGATTTTGTATTCTCACGTGAGTAATTCCTCGATGAATTATTGTTTATTGCATGTCAATGTGACACATTTTTTCATAGAGTTTCAAAATTATCTGCCAATAAATTGACACAAAATTTCCCTTTAAACGGTTTTATAGCTTCTGTTGATTACAATATTTATTTGTCAGTAATTTAATTTACGTTCTTCCAATTTTATCCTTTTTTTTTACAATTGTTTAATTGTACTATGCATTAACCTTTATCTTTTTTTTTTAATCGACATTAATTAATGATATAATACGAATAAAGCGTTTTAAAGTATAATAGCGATGTAAAAAAATTATAGGTTACTCATTGTCAACAAATAAGAATACAAATGAAACTTATCCATAGCTTGCAAACAGGTGATGACTTAAAAAAAAAAAAATCTACTCTTGGAAAATTAAAATTCCAAGTTAAATAATACGTAAGTACCACCAACCCCTAAACCTGCTGTTTCAAGATTAATGTTTTTTGAAATGTTTGCGTTAGCAAAATGATTAAGTCCTTAAGTTCACAGTCTAAGGTAATTCATATAGTATGATTACCAAACGTAAGATACAGTAATTAATAATTTTTTATTATTAAACTCAGATGCAAAATTAATTATCATAAATCATGTAGTATCTTTTCTTTTAAACTGACAAAAAGTTATGGTAAATAAATTCATTAAATTTTGACACAACGTTTTTTGTAAAGTATTACTCACGATTATTAATAACAAAAAATCTCATCCTTTTAATAATCGTTTTTTTTTCCTTTTAATATCATGAGTTGTTGTTACAAAACATCACCTGGCGATTCGTCGAAGGAAGTTCAAGTTCAGTCGTAGCATTACACAGTCAGTATACCCTAGTAAGAAATCGTATGTAATAGGAAAACTTGAGCGTGTAATACAAAGGAAATTTCAATTTCAAGCACCTGAAAGTCGTTACCGAGTAACAGGAAAGAAGGGAAAGACAGTTGGGGGGAGGGGCGAGGTAAAGTAAAGGCGAGATTCCAGATCTTGGCGGAAGGGGCAAATTAAAGCCGACGACGAGACCGAAAGATTTGTCGCGTCACTGTTCCGCTCTGGTGATGGTTCCGCTATACACTGCTACTGTTTCTTCGGACTTTTAGAACTATTTTACAATGGAGAGAAAAAAATCTTAGGGATACAATGTGCCTAGATGGTAGATTCGAAAAACAAAAAACGAAATGAGACCGCTACTGTTCGTCGACTTGGACGAAAAAAATTACTGCTGTAGCTGTACAAAAATGAGGAAGTGAAGAGGGTTTAAATGCTTGAAAGAAAAAAAAGAAGCATTTTTTTTTTTCTAGTTTTTAAGTAAAAAACGGGCTATTGTTTTTTTAAAAGCTTTCGATTTAGTTGAAAAATTCAGATTGATTTTTGAGTGTATCCTGAATATTTCAGCTAGCATTACATTTTCAAAGACTTGATGTACTCCTACTACATTTTTCATAATTATATAGGAAATGTTTTATACAATTATAACCTCCATAATAAGTGTAAGTCCCTTGCCAAATTTTTAAAAAAATTTTTATAGTTTCTTTAAAGAATGCATTATGCTCGAGGAATTGAATTTTTTCTTTTTTTTTTTTTTAATTACAACTTACATTCTGCATCATGTATAAAAAAAAATTTAAACAATATGTCAAAAAGAATATTTATTGCTATGTACAAAAAATTGTTTTAAAGAACTTATTGAAAATAAGTGTCTATCGTATATCTTCAAAAGTTTAATATTTTGCAATAAAATCTAGAAAAATTATAAAGTTTGTAACTTCAGACAGTTTTTTTTTAAAACTAATAAAAAAAAAATTATTTAGATGTTCTCTTATTTACATCAGAAATAATTTATATAAAATTTGGCACG